CGGAAAATTGAACTTTTCGGAAGTCTGTTAACAACAAATTCTTCAGCCTGACCGGTAAGGGGCGAAACCAGTGGCTGGTGAAGCGGGGTTGCACAGGAAAACTTGGTCAGATGGACGCAGGCGCGCGGAATCCAGACGCGCGGAATCCGGGTGCAGGGTTGGACCTAGTGAGCGATCGAGCGAGCCACCAGGCCAGCGACTGCGGGGGAGACAGCGGGGGAGTGGTGCTGCGTGTTGACTGTGGTCGCGCATTTGTGCGCGGGCAGACAGGCGAGGGAGTGGGCGGTTGGACCAGGCCGGGCGGGTCCCCACGGCAAGCGGCAGTGGAGGGCGCCGCCATTTCCCTGCTCTGACCCCACCTCCATATACAGTGTCATAACCCAGTGACTCTGAGTGGCCTGGCCCAGGTGAACCACCTAAGGCGCTGCTCCTCACCCAGCTGTGAGAAACAGCAGAGGGGGTCGCCATTTCCCCGCTCTGACCACGGCCCCACATACAGCGTCAGAACCCAGCGACCTGGGAGTCCAAGGCGCCGCTTCTCACACTTAAAGGGCCAGAACAGTCCAAAAATGTCGCAAGAACTCAAAGCCCCAGAGCCCATAGATCTAAGCGATGAACAAATAGCAAAACTCTCAGACGCACAGTTTAAAACACTGGTCATCAGGATCCTCACAGAACTGGTTGATTATAGCCACAAATTAGACAAATATATGAAGGCGAAACTAATTGAAATGAATGGAATTGCACAGGACACCAATAGCAATGAAAAGGAAACTGGGACTCAAATCAATGGACTGGACCAGAAGAAAGCAAATAATGGCCAAACAAAAAAGAGTCAAGAAGCAAGAATTCAAAGAAATGAGGAGAGTCTTAGGAACCTCCAGGACATCTTTAAATGCTCCAACATCTGAATTATAGGGGTACCAGAAAGGGGAAAGGCACAGCCACCAGTGGAAAACTTATTTGAACAAATAATAAAGGAGAATTTCCCCAATCTGGCAAAGGAAATAGACTTCCAGGAAATCCAGGAAGCTCAGAGAGTACCAAAGAAGTTGGACCCAAGAAGGAACACACCAAGGCACATCATAATTATATTAGCCAAAATTAAAATGAAGGAGAGAATCCTAGAAGCAGCAAGAGCTAAGGGGACAGTCACCTACAAAGGACTCCCCATCAGACTGTCAGCGGATTTCTCAAAAGAGACCTTACAGGCAAGAAGGGGCTGGAAAGAGGTATTCCAAGTCATGAAATCCAAAGACCTACAACCAAGATTGCTCTATCCAGCAAAACTTTCATTTAGAATGGAAGGACAGATAAGGTGCTTCTCAGATAAGATCAAATTCAAGGAGTTCATCATCACCAAGCCCTTATTATATGAAATGTTAAAGGGACTTACCTAAGAAAAAGAAGTTAAAGAAACATGAACAGTGAAAGGACAACAAACTCACAGTTATTAACAACCACACCTAAAACAAAAGCAAAGTAAGAGGACAGCTAGATCAGGAGTGGAAACATAGAAATGAAGATCTCAAGGAGGGTTAGCAACAGGGGAGTGGGAGGAGGAGAAGGGGGGAGAAGGTACAGAAAATAAGTAGCATAGACAGTAGATAGAAAATAGAAGGGGGGGCAAGAATAGCATGGGAAATATAGAATCTAAAGGACTTGAGACACATGGTCATAAACTAAAGGGGGAGTAATGGTGGGGATGGGGGGTAGGGTGGAGGGGAATGAAAGGGGGAATAGAACAACTGTAACAGCATAATCAATAAAAAAATTTTAAAAAAAAGTGACAGAGATCTGAAAACCAGTGCCTTAGGGGTTTATTTTTCTCAAATAATGAGAGCCCAGGGCTGTTGTGATTCTAAGGTGCCATGGAGGACACAGTCTCTCCATCTTTCTGCTCTTTTATTTATTTTTTTATTGTTCTTCAAGTGCAGTTGTCTCCACTTTCCCCCCACCACTCCCCCTGTCACCTCCCACCCTCGATCCTACCCGCCCCTTTGGCTTTGTCCATGTGCCATTTATACATGTTCCTTGATGACCCTTCCCGTTCGTCCCCCCCCCCCATGGCCCCTTATCTCCTCCCCCTCTCCTCCGGTTACTGTCAGTTTGTTCTTTATTTCGATGTCTCTGCATTGCCACCAACAGTGCACGAGGGTTCCCTTTTCTGCTCTGCCCTCTTAAGCTTGTGGTCTTTAGCCTTGGGTTCATTGCCTTGCAATTGCAAGGTGTCCTCTACAGTTTCAAGCACTTCTCCCGTGCTCAGTGCAGGCAGGAGTGGGGAGGTCAAAGGGCAAAGGACAAAGTGCAAAGCCAGCTAAGTCTTTTCCCTTTTAAGAAACTTTCCCAGGGGACTATTCCAGAGACTTCCATTTATATTTCACTTGTCAAAATTGGTTTCCTGGCTACCTCTAACTGCAGGGGAGCCTGGGAAATCAACTTTTTTTTTCTAATGATGGCCACATTGCTACCCTGAGAATGTACACTGAGAAGGAAACTAGTACTTCCTCCTCAAAGAAATACTTTGGGCGAAGGCGATGAGAACCACACTACCACAAGCTGCCCTCCAAGGATAGTCTAGCAAGTTGCAGGGCTTTTGCTGAGTGAGGACATAATTCGAGGCCCAGAGCTGAATTACTCAAACACGTGTTAAGAAAGTCTGGGCAGCCCTGACTAGCGGAGCTCAGTTGGTTGGGCTGCCGCCCACAAAGTGAAAGGTTACTGGTTCAATTCCTGGTTAGGACTTATGCCTGGGTTGTGGATTTGGTCCTTGGTGGGGGTACATATGAGAGGCAACCAATTGATGTTTCTCTCACACATTGCTGTTTCGCTCCCTCTCTTTCTCCCTCCATTTCCTTCCTCTAAAAATAAATAAATAAAAATTCTTTAGAAAGTCTGGGCAGACAAGCTGAGTGATAACACTTGGGAGAGGACATCCAAGAAGGTCAGAGAACTAACGCCAGGGACAGCCAGGCTGCATCCTTATGGGCTGAGGCCTGATCCAGATCCAGAGAAAAATAAACAAAGATTATGTTTATCAATCATCCATAGTTATTCTATAGATGTCTTCCAAGTGTGCCAGTGTTTTCTGACTTTCGGATTTGTAAGAGATTTCTACATATTAAGGATATCAATATGTACAGAGGATCTTAATGGAGAGGGGCACCAAATAATTGAGAGTCCACATTCCACCCAGGCTGAAGCTTCAATCAAGGGTGGGGCCCTGAACACTTCAGGGAGAAGGGGAGGCCCTATAGTGGAGTCAAGTCTGCTCCGCACCACTCCACACATGCACACAGGAATCGCTCTGAGATTTACAGTCAGAATTTAGGACACTGCAACACTTAGAAATTGGGATATTATAGATTAAAACATGTATTTCTACCTTACTTTAAATAATTGGATGATCTAGCAAAAAGGAACCCACATTACCTTAGGACAACCACCTTCTGCAGCAGAGAACTCCTTCACACAGAAATAGCTTCCAATCCACCTCAGTCCCCATAGTGGGGTCTCCTGGAATCCAGCTCTATTTTAAAAGTCTCTCCGGGTGATTTACAAACATTGATAATCCCATTGATGATGGGCCTGTGCAGGAGAAAGTGCGTGACTTGAGAGGGTCGCCAGGGAGTATCTGGATTTGGCTGATACTGGCCGCAGCAGTGGAACCCTTAGCCTACCAGGGAGATGCATAGCAGGAGCCCCTGGCCCTGTGCTTTGGTCCCACAAGGAGAGGTAGTCACAGTGGTTGAGGTGAGAACAAGAGGTTGGGTAGCCTGGGTGGGAAGAGGCAACCACAGACACAGCAACAGGCTGGTGCCAGGCCGAGATGTACCTGCTAAACCCTTTCTGCAGAAATTGCTGTCATATGCACAAATGTGCAGGTTCTGAGAGTAAGTGCTCAGAAGCCCTTGTGTGTATGCATGTGGACCTTAGGACCAGCTCAGCCAGGCTCATCTTTCAGGCAACTGAAGTTTTAAAAACAAGTGTGTTTGATCCACATGTGAATGTGGTTTGCGCAGAGGAGTAGTGGGGAGGGGACGTGAGGTGCCCTTTTCTAGCTCCAGGCCCTGGCCAAGGAGGGCCCTTGGATGCAAGGGAGGTGCTGCAGGGCACAGTCTTGTGGTCAAGCTGCAGGAAGCAAGAGCCAACATAATTGCACTCCTCTGAGTCCTCCCATAGGGGTGTCCCCCTCTCCCTTGCCAGGACAGAGTTCTCCTGCTCCCCTCCCTGTAGGCCCTAGTCCCCAGGTCTTGGTAGTGTCCTGCTAGGTTCCTTTGTCCTTTGCAGTCTCACCTGCCCCTAAACCTCTAAGAGAGCAGGGATGCAACTGAGGGCATTTTGCCCAACTCGTTACTACCTCTCCCACTTTGGGCAGTCACTGATGCAGACTTTAGAGAGTCTTTATAAGGCCTGGCCAAGTGACATAGCGTTGGGAGAAGGTAGTACCAGCCATGTCACCCTCAGAGCACAGATCAGAACCCATTTCCTAAGAACACAAGTCCCCAGCACTGTCTCGCCATTGAAGAAGAGACCTAGGTCAGTTGCCCTCCTGCCCAGGGACCTGGTGACAACTGAACAAGAGTGAATAAACAAAATATTGAGAGGCTTTCCCCACAGTTCCTCACCTGGGTCCCCCGTAAGGGATGTAATAGTGATTCAGGATGTAGCTCTTTCCCCCCAGGCTCATAGAAATGTTCCTGTTCTTAGTCCAGAAGTCCAATTCCAAGGCAAGGGTCCCAATGTTGTCCCTTGTGGGGAGCCGGCACCACCTCAGTCTAGGCACACCTCTCTGTTCCCACCCTGGGAGGCCTTAGGTATGGGGAGCCTGCAGCGCAGCACGAGGAGAGGGTGCCCACCGTAGGACGGGGGTGTCATTGGTGTCAGTCACATAGCGGCCCGTCGTGAGGGTCAGGAGTGGGGGCTGGCTGCGCTGCAGGTAGTACACGTGGGCCCCATTGGGGACATGTCCATAGCTGCTGAGAATGAGACTTGCTGACATGCCCCTGCCCAACCATCATAGCCAAGGCAAACCCAGCTCCAAGCACATGGCATCTGCCTCTCCTCCACCCGGCCTGGAGGTGCCAGGTGCCCACTTACATCTGCACCAGGTCTGGGAAGTTCTGCAGCATGCCCTTCACCATCTCGGGCATCTCAGAAAGGAGCAGACCCTCCATCACCCAGTAGGAGTCCCTGGCGAAAGGGACAGCTCAGGTATCCCACAGCCAGGCACCCCACTCCCCACCCTCTGCCCTGCATACCCAGGCCCAATCAGGCGACCCCACTCACTGGTTCTGGGATCCCCACCACTCTCATCCCTGCAGCTGCTGGCTGCTCACCAATAGTACAAGTCCAGAAAGCGCCCACCAGGCACAATGAAGGGGTGCTGAGAGTAGGTCGAAGAGAACCGCTCTGGGTGGTAGTAGACCTCTGGCTTCACCTGAAGTCAGGAGACAAGGCACAGGGAGCCTAGACCCCACCTTGCTTTCCCAGAGCCTGGAGACCAGAGGAGACTGGCCCAGTGGAGGCACTGGCAGCTGTGGGCTTTGGAGCCAGGAAGCTTGGGCTTTGCTGCTGCTCAGCCCTGTGGGCTCAGTCAAGGACTGGCGCTGGGAGCCTGGACTGCTTGCCCCCACGGGCAGGCCTCTGAGTCCCTGCTGTGTTCCATGGTGTGCAGGAGCCCCTACCACTCAGCCTGGCACCAGCACATACTCACCAAGCAGTGGCCACTACTAGGACCCAGGTTGGGGACCATTTCCTCCAGCTCCCCAAGTCTCTGCTACCACCATCAAGCCAGGCCCAGAGACTTGGGACCCCCCATTCTCTGGCCCAGGTCCCTTTCCCCAGTGGGGTGGATGTGGGTGAACATGGCTGAGGGAGAGAGCAAGGTAGGACCAGAGTGGGGCTTGCTGTGTGTCTGTGTCAGGTATTTCCCTGTTCCTTCCCTACTAGTTCTGTATGAGTGAGTATGGCTTAAGCAGGAGAGAGGTTTTGAGGGGAGCAGTGGAACAAGGCTCAGGTTTCCTTGGGGGCTAGCTGAGGAAGCAGCCCACACTAGCAAAGGAGCCTGTGTCAGGGCCCTGAGGCCTGGGTGAGAGGACCAGTGCTGTGCAGCCTTGGGCAAATCACTGCTCTCTCTGAGCCTCAGATAGAGCAGAGAAAGTGCCAACAGAGGACTGTGCTGATCGCAGGGCTGAGCCACAATCCACAGTAGCAATGATCATTCCTGAGCAGAGGTGTGGCCAGAGGAGCTCAGGAAAGAGAGAGTTCAGCAGGAGAGTGAACAGTTTGTTACTGGGCAGTGAGGAGATGGCAGAGCAGGCTACGTGTGCCTAGGGAGAGGCTGGGAGGGCTTCTGGGAGGGGGTGAGGAGTTACAAGTAGATGTTCTCCTGATCCCTCTCAGAAATTGTTTATAAAATTCTCATAGCTCTAGAGTGCTTCTATAAAGGCTAACTTTAGGGACTTTCGTTACTCCATCTAAACCAGGTGCCACTGCAGGGAATGACTCTCAAGCCACGAAGTACAGAAACTTGCGGGAACAGCGCTTGGCCACCCTGAAGTCCATCCTTTGGGATGAGGAGAAAGGTGTGACCTTTCTGGTTTGACTATGACCTTGAAAACGGAAAGAAGCAAGAGTTTTACCCATCCAACCTTGCCCCTCTCTGGGCGGGCTGCTTCTCTGACCCAGGTGTCGTGGACAAGGCTCTGAAATAGCTGGAGGTGAGGGGGCAGCAGGGTACGTTGTTACACTGGGGGCAGCACCACTTGCTCTCTCCCTGACTCTGAGCAGTGTGACCTCTGGCAAGAGGCAAAGGAGGGCAAGTGGCAAGCACATCCCTCCTGTGCCTGACAGCCCCACTGTAGCCACCAGGGGGCAGGTGTGAGCCAAGAAGAGAAGGCCCAGGAAAGTGACCTCTGGTTTCAGGAAAGCCCAGCCTCCTGGCTCCCCGCCCAGCCCCCACCCACTGTCACAGTGATGTCCGGAACATTGCAAGACAGCCAGATATTGACCTATCAATACGGGATCCCAACATCTCTCCGGAAAACGGGCCAGCGGTGGGACTTCCCCAATGCCTGGCCCCCCCCTCCAGGACCTGGTCATCAGAGGTAGGAGGCAGGGATGGGGCATACCCCAGGACCTTACCGCCTGGGTGTAGAGGGTCAGCCTTCCTGGTACTGGGGAGTTGTGAGCAAAGGATGCGGGGGTCTTTCTCTGACTCCCGCGCTCTCTCAGCCTCCCAGTCAGCAAACATTTATGTCCACTTCCACCTGTCAGGGGTATCAGCCCTCCTCTCCCTCCAAATCCAGGCCCTGAATTAGAGCAGGTTTGCCTGTGGTTCCAAAAAGGACGTTGTAGGGCCTGGGCCTCTTTTCCTCCTTGAGAGAGAGACTCAGGCATCTGAGCCCCTTAGGGCAGGGACTCTGGAGATTCAGGGTCCCGCCTCGGGGCCGGGTCCAGGTCTGACCAAGTCTCCTTCACCGTGGACCCAGGAAGTAGCTTTCCAGCTGATGCAGAATTGGATCCGAACCAACTTTGATGTCTACTCCCAAAAGGCAGCCATGTACAAGAAGGTGAGCGGGTCCTGAGCCCAGTCCTAGCAGTGCTCCTGCCAGTGGTGAGGCAGGGAATTCTCAGGCTTTGCAAAGCCCAGGCCCCGGGGCAGTGGCGGCACCCAGTGGCTACTCCTGGGCACTGCAGGGGGTAAGCCCCAGACCACAGCCCCTTCTCCCAAAGGGCTCCCATTTCCCGCTCCTCCTAGAGGGCTGGATGGGGGACTAGGGATAGTGCTGACTGACCTTAGAGCTTGTCCTCTTGTCCCAGGTATGACATCAGCAATGATGGACAACCCGGTGGCGGAGGGGAGTATGAAGTTCAGGTGAGTGGGCCAACATCCTACAGGGATTTATGGGGCTCTGCTGTTCCCACAAACTGACCATGACCTTTCCCTTTAAGCCTCAGTTTCCTCCCATGTGTGTCCACAGGGAGGGGCCTGACTGGTACTCCTTGTTACCCCCTGGGACTAGCTAGGCAGGGCCAGAGCCTCTGGGTAGAGATCCCCCCCCCCACACACACACACCTAAAAGCACTTGGGGCCTTCCCCAGGTGTCTTTCCCCACTGGCCATGCCTCTCTCCAGGAGGGGTTTGACTGGACCAGTGGAGTGGTCCTGAGTTCAGGAACCCAAACAGCTTTCCTGGAGGCCCAGTGCCTCAGAGTAGCCCTTCTGCTTAGCCTGCTGCCACAGTGATGGGCTTCACTGCCCCATCTGCCTTCAGGTGCTCCCCTGGCTCCAGCTCCTGCCTCATTAAACCTATGCATGAGTCCCTACCTTCTCCTGCCTCTTCATTCTCCATCGCTGGAGACCCCATGCCCTCCTATGTGTCCTGCCCATCCTCGGTCATAGTAGATGGGGACAGAGTAGGAAACTGGAGGTTGTGGGTTAGGCCCTGGGTCCCTCCTGGAACATTTTAATAAAATGGAAGGAAATTCTACTCTGTGGGGAGGACCTAGCCCTCCTATCCCATGTACCCCAGCCCAGTGCCCCACACAACTTGGCCTTCCAGAAACATACTCCAAATGCTTTATTGTTCTGCTGGGATGTTTACAAATATTGCAAATTACCCAGCCTGGACCCAGCAACCATGGCCCAGTGCTGGAGAAGGGAGCAAGGAGTTGGGATTAGTGTTAAGGCGGGAAGGACTGAGGCCAGACTGCTGAGGCCTAGTCCTCTGCTCTCCATTTTCATCACCCTTCTGTGGCTGGAGGAGGGCAGCTGGGCTACAAGGCCTTCCTCTCTGCTGCTCCTCTCCTGCTCAGATTTTCTCATGGAGTAGCCCTCTGTCCCTGTCAGAAACTCAGCCCTTCTAGCTTTCTCAATCATCCACATTACTTCTCTGGAGCTAGGTACCCTGGCTTCATCCCTTCTGGCTCTAAGGAAGGCACAAGTGGAAGGGAGAGGGCTGGCCAGGGGGCCAGCAGGCTGTGCTTCAGGGCCTAGAGACACAGGCTGGTACAGGGAGGTTTCTGGTTCCGTCCCTCCAGCATGATATGCCCAAGGGCCTGGGCTGGAGAGATGATGGCACATATACCCTCAGATGGGCCCACAGCTTAAGCAGTGGGCTGAGCTGCTGAACCATGGAGCCAAGGTAATTAGTATGTAACCATGGCAATGAAGCAGTTACTATGGTGACCATGTCAATAGGTCTGCAAAAAGGGGATGGGGCAGGAGACCACCAAGGATAAAACTTGAGGTCTCTGGCCCTTGAGCAAGGTAATAAAAAATATGAATTCGGGCCCTGGCTGGTGCGGCTCAGTGAATTGAGTGCCAGCCTGCAAACCAAAGGGTCACCAACTTCCCAGTTGGCACATGCCTGGGTTGTGGGCCAGGTCCCCAGTGGGAGGCATGCAAGGGGCAATCGCACACTGAAGTTTCTCTCCCTCTCTTTCTCCTCTTCTTCCCCTCTCTCTGGAAATGAACAAATGAAATCTTTTTTAAAAATATGGATGTGGGAAAACAAAGGGGTAAGAGCAGGGTTTGAGAGGTACACTGCCTGAGCTGTTGCCCTACTCTGGATGTGGTCTTGCTCAGCCCCCAATGCTCCTGCAAAGGGGGCTGAGGCAAGAGGGAATCTTTGGCCAATTCCGGTACCATAACTGTCCTTTACAAAAGAGAACACAGGCCAAGGAGCGCAGGACCCTGAAGGGTTATTGCAAGTGCTGAGCTCCCAGGAGGCTACAAAGCTCCCTCCCTACCTTTGATCTCCTGACTGGTTCTTCAGGAGGCCCAAGCTCAGAAACTCCCAGAATGAGCTCCTTAGACAACATTGCAAAGTCTTCTTATACAAAAGCACCAGTTATGTTCTACTATCCCAGGGCCTCTGGAAGCGCCCAGTGAGGCCTAGGGCCAGGGTGTTTGTTACTCTGTCTCCAGGGGCAAGCAGAGCAGCAGGTGGTCAGGCATGAGTCCAGGAGGCCCACAACAGTCAGTTCATGAACTGAGTGTAGCCCTCAGCCCCGGTGACAATGACATCCATCCAGATGCGCATGGCCTCCGCAGATGGGGCTACCATGTAGTACAGCCGGTCATGGGTCTTCACACAGAAGGTCAGGGCTGGGTTTGGGCTCTGCAGAGGGAAAGAGAAGAGTCTAAACAGGGCTTACCCCTGACATCCACAAGCATTCTCCTGCCCAGCCTCCTGGTCGGTACTGTCTCCTCTTTGTCCAAGATAACCTGAAGCTAAGGGCTGAGTCTACATAGGCCTGAAACCTAGTCACAACCAGTCAAGTGGGCCTCAGGCACAGATGTTCCCCTCCTTACACCTGGCAATCCTCAGACCCTGGCAAGGTCATATTATGCCAGGTAGGGGCACTGTTCCTTTATACCCCCAGACAGAAAAGAATGTCAAAAGAAATCAGACACAAATGGCTGTTCCAGTGAGGATCAGAGTTCTCCTCTCTGCAAAAGAGAGACAGATGGAAAAAGCTACAAGTGGGATGCTGAGCTCTAGGACCCCAGAGATCACAGAGAGTGGGCATCTGAGGCTTGGTGAAAGGGAGGCTGACTTATACTGCAGTGAGGCATATGACCACCCTCAAATATCTTCTATTTACCAAGCCTCTCTACCAAATCTAGTCTTCAAGGGCCCCCTTTTAGTCATCCTTTCCACACTGCCCACCCTTATTTGGGAAACATGCTGTCATCTTAGGAGAGGGAGGCAAGCCAGCCAAATTCAAGCCCATGGGGGCATCCTGTTTTCTGCAACCCACCTTCACTCCTCCCTCAGGCCTGAGGAAACAAGGGAAAGGAAAGGGTCAGAGGCAACTAGGGTATGAAGGTGTTAATATGCAGTAGTTCTGGTTACTATACATAGGGAGGGATACCTCTGTCCATAGTGAAGCTGAAAAACCTGTTCTAGGAAGGGGAGAAGAGAGGAAGGAAAAGTTTACAAAGAGAGGAAGGGATGGGTCTGAGATGCTGAAGAGAGCAGGCTGGAGGCCTTTGCCATAGAGCCCACCCATTCCCCATGACTGGTCCCTTCTGCCCCTTCACCTTGGCTGCACTGCGTAGGTGATCGTAGTATACCTCTTCAATGGCCTGGAAATAGATGACCCCCTTCAATTTTGTCTCATGCTTGTCTGCAAAGGAAATAAGGACCAGGTTGAGGAGGCCTGTCACACTTCAGGACGGGCTTCACTGCCATGGAGTTTTTCCACCTGGGGAATGGGATGACACCCAGGGCTCCCAAAGAGAACACACATCAGTGCTCCGGCTCACACAGAATTACAGAGAACACAAATTAGAACTCCACTGAGATACTGCTTCTCACCTATCAGAATGTCAAAAACATACAAAAGATATATAGCACACTTTTGTCAAGTGTGAGGAGAAAAGGCTGTCTAATAAATGGCAGGTGGGAGTATATAAACTGGCAAACTGTATAGATGATGTGGCCATACCTACCAAAATTGCTGTTTGTCCCAATCACTAAGCCAGTGATTACACTTAGGAAAATTTACCTTACACATGTGCAAAATAACAAATTTAAACATCATTTCTAAAAAAGAAAAAAAAGAACATTTCTGGCAGCAACATTTGTAGTCACAAAAGATCAGAAACAACCCAAGTATCCACCAGATGGAGACTGGTTGACAAATTATAGTGTACCACATGATGGGATACTAGATAGCTATTATATGGAATAATGTACAAATATCTGATATATAAATTCAGAAACAAATCTATAAAATATATCCAGATATAAATATCTAGACATAGATATATTTTATGTAGAAAATTAGCAGGAAAACAAGGGATGTATTACAGGCTACTTTTTGTGTAAGAAAAGGAGTAAGAATACAAGTTTGCATTTGTTTATATGCCCCTAAAGAAGCACTAGAAAGATACACAAAAGAGCAATAAAAGTGATTATCTATAGGGCCCTGGCTGGTGTAGCTCAGTGGATTGAGCATGGGCCTGCAAACCAAAAGATCGTGGTTTGATTCCGTCAGGGCACATGCCTGGGTTGCAGGCCAGTTCCCAGCAGGGGCCAGTTCCCAGCAGGGGATGCACCAGAAGCAACCATACATTGGTATTTCTCTTCTTCCCTTTCCTTCTAAAGATAAATAAAGAAAATTAAAAAAAATAAATTAAAATTTAAAAAGTGGTTATCTACAGTGAGTGGGAGCATAATTCTCAATTTAAACCTTTCTATGTATTTTGACTTTCAAGTATATGAATGCATTCATGTATTGAAGTCTAATATTTTTAAAAAAGAAGTATTTAGCATGTGAAGGCAGGGGTGGCAGGAAGAAGGTGCGTAAACTACCAGCAGGATGACTTCTGGTTGGGAGGGACAGGGCACTGTCAAAGGCAAACTGCCCAGGCACTACAACTGGCATCCTGGACTCAAGCCTGAGGCATGAAGGACAAATATACAATCACTAAGCTCAGATGGTTGGTGGCTGGCAGTATGCACCTTCTCCCATCCCATGTGTCATTTCAAGCCCTAGTCATCAATGCTGGGCCATTGCCGCAGCCTCCTGACATGCCCCTGGACCACCCTAATGCCGAGGGGGTCAGCTTCCTAAAGCAAATCTAATCCTGCTGCCTCAGCTCACAAGCTTCACTGCTGGTTCCTTCACTGGAAACCTGCTGCCTCCTTGGTTTGGCCAAGGCTATTTACAGGCTGGTGCTAACATGTTCCTCTGGCCTTGTCTCACCCCCTGCCCCCCACAAACCCCAGGTTCTGTCTGGCCATGTTGAGCTTCTCACATTCCCTGAACAGTGTGCTCTGCATATACTGAAATGGTCTCCAGCGCACTCCCTTGGCAAACTGCTAAGTAATGTTTAAGACCCATTGCAAATGTCACCACTCTAGTATACGGCTGTGTTCACTGTGTTCCAACAGCAGCCACACTCCTCTACAGAACTCAGGCTGAGTCTGAACCCTCCTTGCAATTCATAGATCTACCTCCTCCAACATCAACAACTATGTGCCTAGCACACAGTAGGTGCTCAATGAGTTGAATGAATGAGACCCAGGCACTGGGATCCAGGGAAAAGTCAGAGACCCTTCTCTTAGGCACTTACAATTTAGTGGGAAAGAATGCATTTACTACTAACTGCGTGACTTGGGTGTCCAAGAGAGCAGCTATGTGTTACAGGTGGTTGTGAGTATTGAATGAATACATTCAAAGTGTGCGGCAGTGTCTGCCACATACCATGCAGCATCTGTCATTACATCAATATGCCCCTTGGCTGATGTCACATGGCAGACAGACCCTGTATAACACGGGAGTTACACATTGAAGGAAGGAACCAGTCTCAGTAAGATGGGGCCAGGAAAGGCTTCATGAAGGTAATATCTGATCTGGACTCTACAGAATGGAAGGGGGAATTCCATCAAGTAGGTGCAAGGAAAGTCCAGGCAAAGGCAGGGAGAATGGCAAGTTCAAGGTAGGAGCAGGCAAGGAACACTAATCCAGGGCCCTGATCCTATTACAGGCCCAATCTCCATCCAACACTTCTTCTTCAAGATAAGGACCCAGCCCCACCCTGCCCCCTGCCATTCTCTCCATTCCCTTGCTTCATTGTAAATAACAACTCAATCCTTCCTGTGCTTCCTAACCACCTACCTCTCCACAATCTTATGCAATTTGGCTCCCACCCTTGTATACAGCAGAAGCCTTTCTCTTGTCAGGCTCCGATGCCTGAATTGAATGGCCTTTAGTTCCAAATTATTCTTGGCCTTCCTACAGCACCCATCACCACTAGAGACACGCCTGCTTACAAATGTCTACCCCTTTGGCTGGCTTCCTTCCATGGCCACCCCTGTCTAAACTTGGTCTTTTTGTTTCATAAAAGGAAGGTCACATATGCCAAGCACCAACTCAGCACCTGGCATGTAGATTCCTGCCTCCTGCCCCTTCTACCTTTGCTGGTCCCTCTTCTTCCTCCTTCCTCACAATAGTGCAGCCCTCTCTCTCTGCCTTTTCTTTTCTAATTGCCCAGGTCAATCTTAGCTCTGCCTTTTAGCAGCTGTGAGACCATGAACAATTTACTTAACTTCTCTGAGCCTATTAATGATATTTTATTGATTATGCTACTACAGTTATCCTGATTATTCCCTTTGCCCCCATCCCGACCCAGCACCCCATATTCCCTCAGGCAATTGTTCAAATCCACAGGTCATGCATGTAAGTTCTTTGGCTACACCATTTCCTACACTGTATTTTACATCCTCATGGCTACTCTATAACTACCTATTTGTATTTCTTTTTTTTTTTATGAACTTTCATATCTTTATTGGCCATCTGGAGATCCCGTTTTTGAAGGTTTTTTAAAAAATATTTTTTTTAATTTTATTTATTTATCTTTAGAAGGGAAGGGAAGGGAAGGGAAGGAGAGGAGAGAAATATCAATGTATGATCGCTTCTGGTGCATCCCCTGCTGGGAACTGGCCTGCAACCTAAGTATGTGCCCTGACGGGGAATCGAACCGTGATCTTTTGGTTCACAGGCCCGTGCTCAATCCACTCAGCTACACCAGCCAGGGCCCATTTGTATTTCTTAATCCCCTCACCTCTTCACCCATTCCCCCACACTCCTCTCCCATCTAGCAGTTATCAAAAACGCTGTCTGTATCCATGATTCTGTTTTTCTTCTTTGCTTAGTTTTTTTAATTGTTAATAGATATGTATTTATTGCCACTTTAGTATTCATAGTTTTGATCTTTTTCTTAAATAAGTCCCTTTAACATCTCATGTAATAATGGTTTAGTGGTGATAATAAACTCCTTTGGTTTTTTTCTGTCTGAGAAGCTCTTTATCTGCCCTTTGATTCTAAATAATAAATTTGCTGGATAGAGCAATCTTGTCTGTAGATCCCTGCTTTTTATTTCTTTGAATACTTCCTGCCAATCCCTTCCAGTCTACAGTGTCTTTTGAGAAACCAGCTGAAAGTCTTAGAGGAGCTCCCCTGTAGATAAGTAACTGCTTTTCTTTTGCTGCTTTTAAGATTCTCTTTAACTTTTGACATTTTAATTATGATGTGTCTTGGGCTGGGCCTCTTTGTATCCATCTTGTTTGGGACTCTCTGTGCTTCCTGGACTTGCAAGTCTATTTCCTTCACCGAATTAGGCAAGTTTTCTTTCAATATTTTTACAAATAGATTTCTGATATCTTGCTCTTTCTCTTCTCCTTCTGTTACTCCTATTATGTGAATGTTGGAATGCTTGAAGTTGTCCCAGAGGCTGCTTACACTATCCTTCTTTTTTTGGATTCTTTTTTTTTTTTTTTAGATTTTATTTATTTTTCTTTAGAGGGAAAGGGAAGGAGAAGAGGGAAAGAAATATCAATGTACGGTTGTCCCTTGTGCGTCCCCTGCTTGGAAATGGCCTGCAACCCAGGCATGTGCCCTGACTGGGATCGAACCATGGTTGTTTGGTTCCAAGGCCCGCATGCTCAATCCACTGAGCTACACCAGCCAGGTGGATTCTTTTTTCTTCTCGATTGTTTTTTGTTTCCTTATGTTCCAAGTCATTGTTTTGATTCTCAGCTTAATCCACTCTACTGTTGTTTCCCTATAACTTATTTCAATTAGTGTATCCTCCATTTCTGACTGGACCTCTTTTATGCTGTTGAAGTCCTCACTAAGTTTCTTGAGCATCCTTACAACCAGTGTTTGGAACTCTACAGCTGACAGATTGCTTATCTCCATTTTGTTTAGCTATTTTTTTGGAGTTTTCTTCTTTTTTTTTTTCATTTGGGCCCTGTTTCTCTGTCTCCTCATTTTGGCAGCTTCCCCATGTTTGTTTCTGTGTATTAGGTAGAGCTGCGACTCCCTGTCTTGGTAATGTGGCCTAATGTAATAGGTGCCCTGTAGGGTCCAGTGGCACTGCCTCCCCTATCACCCAAGCTGGGTACTCAAGGTGTGCCCTTTGTGTGAGCTGAATACAACTCCCTCTTGTAGTTGAGCCTTGATTACTGTTGGCAGATCAGTAGGAAGAATTTACCCAGACCAGTCAGCTGCAAGTACCAGTAGGGACCACTGACACCAACCTCCACCCTCCGTGGAGGATCAGCTGTGCAGGGGCAGGGTGGTGGTGCTCTGCTGTGATCTGAAGTTGTCCACTGGAAACATAGGCTCTGGGGTTTCCTGGGTGGTGCAGGCCAATGTCAGCCTACTTGTGTTCTGCCCAGAGCCACCCTGCCTGAGCTATAATGCAATCTGAGATGGCTGCTACTTGTGCTGGGCTTAGAGATTCCCAGGCAAAGCCTAGCTGGGAATCTAGGCTGGCTGCGGCTAGTGCCAGACCTGGGACCACTCATCAAGAGGTATAGGGGCTGGGGGCTGAAGCCAGTTGTTGCTTGTTGACAGGATTTAGGATGCTGTGAAGCATAAGCCAAGACCAGCCATTCATATAGAAAAGTAGCTTGGGTGGGTCCATAAATTGGGTGGCACAGTCTCAGGGGATCTCCAGGGTGGGGTAAACAGTGTTAGCCAGGTTCATGGAGTCTTCAGAATAGCATCTGCCTGCTATATTGTTGGAGGAGGGTTCACAAAAGGGACAATGGCCCCTGCCCCTGTTCCGGTCTGGCAAAAAGCTGTACCCCAGCTCTTGCCTTGATGTCGACACTTCAGTTCCTCCCTATAGGTCACTCATGCCTTGCAAGCTGCTACCCTGGTGCTGGAGCTCAGAGGGAATGAATCTAAATCTGCATGTGGGTTCTCTAAGGGGAACTGCATGGGACTCCAGAAGTTTCTTCCATCAACTCAATCCCCACTGGTGGTTGCAGCCAGAAGTTATGGGGACTTATCTTCCTGGCACTGGAACCCTGGGCTGGGGGGCCTGGTATGGGGCTGGGACTCCTCACTTCTGAGATAACCCTCCCAAATTTTTATCCATCACACGTGGGTGAGGGACCAGATCATTCTGTGTTTCTGTCCTTCCTACCAGACTGGATGGATGTGGTTTCTTTAATTCTGCAGTTCTCAGATTCACACTTCCATTCAACTTCATTTTTGATGTCTCTGAGTGACAACTGCTCTATATTTTAGTTGTAATTTTGTTGTGGTTGTGTGAGAAGATGAGCTGTTTACCTATGGCATCTTATCTGGAAGTCTCTAAGCTTTATTTTCTTTATCTGTGAAGTAGGTATGGAAAGAGTGCTTCTCCCAAAGATTATTATGAAGAGTGAATGAAATGATTCATGTAGAGTGCTCAGCATAGCATGATTCATATAAGTGGTCAATAAGGATGATCTGCTATTTTATTATTATTACTATTATTATTCCAACAGGTTCAACTTTCACTCTGCCTCTAATCCTGACCTTTATCTTAAGCCTAGATGTCCTTGGGGTGCTTCAACCTCAACATGCCTAAAATGAAGCTCTTTTCCCTAGTCCTGTTCCTCTCAATCCCAACAAAGTCTGTTCCCAGCCCAGGTGTAAACATGGGGACACTTGTACCTCTACCTCTCCTGCCTCCCCACACAGAGGGCCCATGTGTTCATGGAAGACTTCTTGGAGGGAGTGGCACCTGGTTTGAGGACCAGGGAGAGAAAGCAGGGCTCTCCAGGCCTGGGCCTCCCCAGCACCAAACACTCCAGCCCTTTCCTTTCAGGCTCCCAGCCAGACTGTTCTTCCTGGCTTTGTGGTTGTGTGGGTCTGGGTGACTGGCTGGACAAACCCAGCTGAGGCATCTGATAACAATGTAAGGCCCAATTAGGCTTCTCTTTATTCTCTGCCATGGTGGCCAGGAATGTTCCAGAAAGGCATGTGCTAAAGCAAAGAGAACACTGCTGCAGAGCAGATCCCCCACCACCTACAAAACACACAACATACATCAGGAGGAAAAAGGGAAACTCTGTGGTTTTGAGCCACAGGGATCTTAGGACTGGCTGTTTCCACAGCACACCCCAACCTCTCCTGACTAGGGGGTGATAGAGTACTCCACATTCTAAGTCCAGAGAGAATTCCAGGCATGGGAAACTAAGCTGGAAGAGTGAAGGGAGAAATATGGGCCAGTGGGCCTGAACCCAAGGTTGTCCTGAGCACACCTTGGCACTGCTCAACTGCCTGTCTTGGAGTCTTTGAGGGAATTTGCTGAATGGGGAATTCACAGGATTCTGTGCAGTCACAGTGTCTGGGCATCCCTACAGCTTATCCACTCAGTTCATGTTCATCAGCTGCCTCCCTGACAGTAAGTTCCAAGGGAGAATGCTGCAGCCATCTTGCTTATCACTAGAACCTAGAACCATGCCCAGACCTTATTAGATACTTAGTAATTGCCAAGTTAATCAATGGATAAACAAATAAATGGAGGTAAACCAGGTATACTCTGTACATTTTCTGGAGGATGGGAGGAAGAATAAGCCAAGCCTTCGGTCCCCCAACTTGCAAGCCTGGTGTCCTTCCAGACCAGCTGTCCTTGGTGACAGAGCCCAGGGGTCTGGATTTAGGGAAGCTAGGTGGGAACTCACCCACATAATAGGAAAGGGTACGCTTGAGCCGGTCGAAGACAAACCAGCGCTTCTTCCATGATTTAATTTTGCCGCCCATCTTGACCAAGTAGCCTCGGCAGACCTGGTGGGAAGCAGAAGTAAGGAAGGACCCAAAAGCACAGCCCCTAAACCTTTCTTCCCTGAGCAGCAACATAAGTCCCATCACTTGTGCCTATATTCATTGGGGGTGGGGGGGTACGGGGGTGGCAGGGCGCTATCCTCAACATTTCTTCAAGCCAGAATACCATACCAGCTCCTGGGACAGAGACCTCTGGTGTTAGGTCAGGAACTGAGGCCACTATTCTGAGGACTGAGGAGGGGTCTCTAACCACAGGAGCCTCTCCCCAGCACCCCAGGGCCATGCACACCAGTACCTTGCTGCTGAGTACCACGTGCAGGCAGGTATCAACACCATGGCCTGAGGACTCGATGTGGGTCTTCAGATCAAAGTCCTCTTTCCGGACTGGCAGATAGCGGGTCAAGGGTCGTGCCTGGGAGTAGAGGGAAGGGTCAGCAGAATCTCCTCTCTTCCCCATCATTTCCTTGTCTAGGCCCCTAGGCTTCAGTCCTCACTCCTGCCATTATTCCCTCCCCACCCCCATGCTGCCATTCTGGTTTCACAGGGCCTGTGGCAAAAGCAGAGACCTAGCATGTCTGTGTTGGGCAGACTAGGCTTGGGCAAACTGCTGAGTGACTCTATGCCCACGTTTCCCCACCTATGACCAAGATACAGCCATACTTGTCTTGTCCCTGCCTCTCTCCTCCCTCCTGGTCTGAAAGGAATAAAGCCAGAGGCCACACATGAACAGGCTCTGGGAAGAAAAACCTAATAGGAAATCTGGTCTCTGACTTCCTGAGGACTTTGTCTGGGTCATATCCCTTCTCTGGACCTCAGTTTCCTTATATGTAAAACAAGGGCTTTGAACTATAAAATCACTAAGGTTTGTTCCACCTCAAAAATTCTTATACTACAAAATGAACAACTTTCAGGGGGTACCCCCAAAATGGGCTGACTCTACCCACTTCCCATAGCACACTGTTGGTCCCTGCAGCAATGCCTCAGTTCCATGAGATGGGGCTAGAGAGTTCCAAAGTGGCCACAGACAGAGAAGGGAATTAGGCATTTGACAAAGATTCTAAGCACAGAGGTAAAACTCACAGTATCTGATTAATTTTTTTAATTCTCAAACCTAATCAAGGCAGCCTATTCCTAGGAATTTATGTTGTTGCATCACAGGAAGTCAGGGACCTGTGATAGCTGGTGACTACCGGGAGTAGATCCCAAGGGACCCCTACCCTGGGGAGGTCAATGGAAACTGAATACAAGGAACAGCCTGTCTGAGTCCCTCAGGCTCTCACAAGGGCTAGGATCTGAGACAAGAGACATGGGTACATTTCCCTACCCAACCTATGTTCTCTTCCTACCTTTAAATGTTCTGCTCAAGTGTCCTATGTAAGGAAAGAGTCCAGAGTTGTCTTTTGTACAGGGAAGGATTCCTGTCCCAAGGAGAAACTAGTATAATTTTCTCTTGAAGATATAACCAACAGTCATAGCCAGGTCATCTGCTGGCGGTAGGGCCTAGAGCCAAAAGGTGTGGTGGAGTGAGGGTCAGGACTTCCATGAAGCACCAAGTACAGGAGGCCATCAGAGAAGTGAGGGGAGGCACAGCAGAGACTCATGAAGCAGAGATGAGGCCCTTGAAAGAGGCCAAGGGGAGCCACCCTGATACTTGACCTTGGCTCCCATCTCTGAGAGGCCCATCCAGACCATCTTCTCTGACCCCAGATGTCAGCAAGGTGGTCTGTCATATCCCCACAACCCACCCACTCACAACATACACATACACACATATAGAAACACACTAGCTTAACAAGCCCCTATTCCTTGGGACTGAATGAGTCTCTGGTAGAATTTTGCTTGTGCTGAGCCAACAGTAATCTTTTTTTGAGTAGAGCAGCTTTTACAACCTAGAAGAGTTGCCCTAGAATGTCTCTACCCCTCCACAGCCTCACCCTCAAGCCAGCACCCACCATACCCCACTGCCCACTCACCTGAGAAAACTGTTTCTCCCGCATCTTGACCTCCTTCTCCACCAGCTGCTGCCTCCTGGTGCTCTCACTCTGAAGCCTCCGTTCCACCTGCTCCCGCTGCCTCCGCTCCTCCTCCAGGGCTTGACGCCGTAGCTCCATCTCCTGCTCCTTCCACCAAAGCCAGGGATCAGTGCCCACAGCTGCCCTCTTCCTCCATCCCCAGTTTTCCCTTCTCAGAAGAGGGCAGAGCCACAGAAGATGCCCCTCTCAGTGGGCAGCCTGGCATTCAGAGGCATCATCCTCAAAACGCACCCTCTCGCCCTGGCTGGTGTGACTCAGTTGGTTGGAACATCATCCAGTAAACTGAGAGGTTGTGGGTCCAATTCCTGGTCAGGGCACATGCTTGAGTTGCAGGTTCAGTCATGGGAGAGGGAACCAATTGATGTTTCTCCCCCTACCCCCTCTCTACCTCCCCCTCTAAGCATGTCCTCAGTTGAGCATTAAAAAAAAAAAACTCTCGAGGACTTCCGCCAAGATGGAGGCGTAGGTGGAAACACTGTGCCTTCTTACACAACCAAGTTTAAAAACAACAAAGTTTTAGCAACAAAACACAGCCAAACTACAAAAAAATTGAACTATACAGAAGTCTGACAACAACAAACCCTTCAGCCAAACCGGTAAGAGGGGCAGAGCCAGCAGCAGAGCAGGGTCGGGCAGGAAAGATCCACCAGACAGACCCGGGCTCACGACCCAGGCGCACTGGCAGCCGTGAGGGGATCCCAGGTGTGGAGTAGCAGGTGGACCCATTGAGGGCTGACCGTGGTCACACATTTGTGGCGCAGATAAACCGGTGAAGGAGTGAGCAGTGAGACCGACCTCGCAGGCCGCAGCGGCGGAAAGCAGCAGAGGGGACCTCCATTGTCCCTCTCTAACCCCCCCCAACATAGAGCGTCATAAACCAGCAACCTGGGTGGCCCCGCCCTGGTGAACACTTAAGGCTCCACTCCTCATATGTAACAGGCACGAACAGATCAAAACATGGCTCAAGAACAACTCAGAGCCCCAGAGCCCATAAATCTAAGCGATGAAGAAATAGCCAAACTTTCAGATGCACAGTTCAAAAACACTGGTGATCAGGATGCTCACAGAACTGGTTGATTTTAGTCACAAATTAGAGGAACATATGAAGGCGAAACTAATTGAAATGAAGGGAAAAGCACAGGAAACCAATAGTGATGGAAAGGAAACTGGGACTCAAATCAAAGGAGTGGACTAGAAGGAGGAAAAAAATGACCAAACAGAAAAGGATGAAGAAACAAGAATTCAAAAAAATGAGGAGAAGCTTACAAACCTCCAGGACATCTTTAAATGTTCCAACATCCAAATTAGAGGGGTACCAGAAGGGGAAGGGGAAGAGCAACAAGTGGAAAACTTATCTGAACAAGTAATAAAGGAGAACTTACCCAATCTGGTAAAGGAAATAGACTTCCAGGAAGTCCAGGAGGTTCAGAGAGTCCCAAAGAAGTTGGACCCAAGAAGGAACACACCAAGGCACATCATAATTACATTAGCCAAGATTAAAATTAAGGAGAGAATTCTGGAAACAGCAAGAGATAAGGAGACAGTAACCTACAAAGGAGCTCCCATCAGACTTTCAGCTGATTTCTCAAAAGAGACCTTACAGGCAAGAAGGGGCTGGAAAGAAGTATTCCAAGTCATGAAATCCAAAGACCTACATGCAAGATTGATCTATCCGGCAAAGCTTTCCTTTAGAATGGAAGGGCAGATAAAGCGTTTCTCAGATAAGATCACATTCAAGGAGTTCATCATCACCAAGCCCTTATTATATGAAATGTTAAAGGGACTTACCTAAGAAAAAGAAGATAAAAAAGATGAACAGTGAAAGGACAGCAAACTCACAGTTATTAAGAACCACACCTAAAACAAAAGCAAACTAAGAGGACAGCTAGATCAGGAGCAGAACCATAGAAATGAAGATCACATGGAGGATTAGCAACAGAGGAGTGGGAGAAGGAGAAGGAGGGAGAAGGTACAGAAAATAAGTAGCACAGACGGTAGGTAGAAAATAGATAGGGGGAGGGCAAGAATAGTAGGGGAAATATAGAATCTGAAGAACTTGAGACACGTGGTCATAAACTTAAAGGGGGGAATGGTGAGGGAGGGGTGTGCTGGGTGGAGGGGAATGAAGGGGGGAAATAGAATAACTGTAATGACATAATCAATAAAATATATTTATAAATAAATAAATAAATAAAAATTAAAAAAAAATTCTATCTCCAAGGACCTTGCTGGGTCAATGTTTTAAAGTCAGATGGCCCTGCCTTCAAATTCTGGCTCAGCCACCAATGTGAACTGTGGAACCCTGACAAAATCATTTAAATTCCACAAGCCTCAGCTGCCTCACCTGTAAAATGGGGCCAAGAATGCATATTCCTATTATCATAATAAAAATTAAATAAGATCTCTGTGCCCATCACTGACTCCAGCAGGGAGAAACACTCAATAAATAAATGGGTCTCTTGTAATTGTTATCTGAATTCCTAAAACATTGATTATCTAAGAAACTTTTTTTGACAGTGAATATATTCAGTGGTCCTTCCCTAATCACTAAGGCCCTTTGAAAGTCCAAACTAGAAACACTGGTACTTAAACTACAAATTTTATGGGGAAAAAATGAACTTATGAAAGCCATTATTAAAACATCTTAAAAGTTGTTAAAACAAATCATTAAATACAGAGCACTTCAGTGATGTTTTGTGTCTTAATCAATGATAATGACCTTTATACCATTAACTTCCATTTGGCATGTCTTCCCAGCTTAAAACTTAGCAAAATCTCCTTTCTCCCCATTTGCCAATAGATGCTTATACATTTGTATTTCTCTAATACGACTACAACTAAAAGCCTTTTTTTCCTGGTGTTTGGAGCTGCTGACTCCTGCTCTCCAGGTTCTACTCTCTCATCTCAAAAGATGCAGAATAACCAGATGGTGGAGAAAGAACAGCTTCCACAGATCCCTTATCTAACTTCCTCCCAAGGCCTGGGTTTCCTCAGACTGGCTGTGTCCAGGATAAACTACTGGTTTCATTGGTGTGTCCCAGCTCCAGGTCATTGAAAGAGACATGACTTCCCTCAGCCCCCACTTGCTCCCTGAGGTCCCCCAAGCTAGCACTTCTGCTCTGGCTTGGACATCTGGCAGATGCCTTCTCTCTTCTGTCCCTATTACTGAACCCTCAGTTGCTGCTTTTTCTAACCATCCCCAAGAGGAATGACCAGCCAGTCAGGTAGACAGGAATCAAAATTCCCATGGTGACGAAAACATCCACAGAAATAAACACACAAAGACTAGATGTTCCCATTCAGGAACTTCATGGTTGGACAACGGTTACTGCGCTGCCTCCTCTTTTCCTACAAGGTATGAAAAATGAATTTCACCTAGCCTCCACATCCCCACCTTTTTTCCTCAAGGGAATATTGCAATGATAATGTGGGTAAAATGGCTTGGGATAAAATGCAGGCCCTTGGCAAGTAGAAAGCAGCACTGGGGCCTCACCGCCTTTGCCTCTGAAGCCCAGATCTGCCTTACCTTCGACTCCATGAGCCGACTCTTCTTCAAGTGAGCTTCCTTCAGCATCTTCTCCATCTCCTCAATCTTGCCGACATCCAGGCCACTTGTACTAGAGGAGGAAGAAAAAGAGTGGGTGCATCAAGGAGCTGAGAAGGCATCTGGCAGAGGCAGTAGGTCCATTGTGGGGGAGTGCAGAGTTGACACTTCAGGCAGGATGGGGTGGAGGTTAGGTACCTGGACACATTGTCAGGGGAGCAGGCTGAGTTTCCTCCTGTGGAGATGCTGGTCTCCATGCTGTCAGAGCTCTCCAGGCTCAGTGTGTCGTAGGCGTGTTCACCCTCCTCCCCACGCTCCCGCCCAGCTGGCAGGTGGTGCAGGATGGAGTGGTGCATGAGTGGGGGGATGCCCGAGGGGCCTGCCAAGAAGGGGGATGTCCCGTGCAGGGCATCCCACTGGCACTGAGCCTCGGCTGCTGCTTTCTGCTTCAGCTCAGCCAATCTCCGCCGCTGCTCTTCAATTACCTGCTGCCCTAAAAGAAGAACAGGTGGGAGTCACAGGAGACAACCCAGCTGTGTGGGGAGGACACTGGCAGCATCACAGACAGAGACAAGAAGTGAACAGGAGCCCTGGCTGGTGTAGCTCAGTGGATTAAGCACAGGCCCGCAGACCAGAGGATCACAGTTCAATTCCCAGTCAGGGCCCATGCCTGGGTTGCAGGCCAGGTCCCCAGTGGGGACCATGTGAGAGGCAACCACACATTGATGTTTCTCTCCCTCTCTTTCTCCTTTCCTTCCCCTCTCTCTATAAAATTTTTTTAAAAAAAGAAATAAAATATTTTTTAAAAAGTGAACAGGAAGAGGCTAACACAGGGCACCCACATCAGCCCCACTAGCTTCCCTGAACCCCCCCCCCCCAGTTCCAGGGTCAGCTGCCCTGCCATTCGGCCACAGTGGCACAGTCTGGCTTTAGCACACCCCTTCTACATCCTGAGTCCACACAGGCACTGATCCTGGCTACGTGGTGTCTAGGCAGCATGATGGCCAGCGGCCTCCAGCTCACAACAAAGTCATGAATAAGTGGGGACACATAAACCCACCCTGCCCCCTGGGAAGGGAAAAGGAAGAAATGGTGGGAGCCCCATGAACACCCAGGATGTCAATGCAGAATCAGCAGCAATGCAGAAGCAAGAGCAACAGCAGCAGGAAAGAAGGAAGGGGAAACAGGTGGAGCACAGCTGAGGCAGCAGAGCGCTCACTTCGGGGAGTGAGGTAGCCAGACACCCTACCCCAGCTCAGCCTGGGAGCCTGCCTATGGGCAGTGGGAGCCTGGACAGAATACATCATGCAGATGCCTGGGCAAAGGCTGCCTGGCCAAAGCAATGTCCTCAATGACCAACAGTCTACCTGCTGGGTCATCAGTTAAGAGGGGTTTGGCAGGAAACAACTCGACTGGTAGAGGGGACCCCAGCAGAGGGCGGAGTAGAGAGGCACAGAGGGGATGACAGGAAAGAGAGGCACAGACATGGGCTTTCAAAACAACCAAAATACACTCCAGCAACAAGGTCTCCTGGGTCTCCAGAGCCAATGTCTTAGGGAACCATTTCTGGAGGTCAAGTCCATTCCCCTGCCTCCAGACAGGGCAATGCATATGCCCACTCAGGTCAAAAGCCATTTCCTTTTATTTGCTGGGCTCTCTAGGTAAGATCTCACAGCCTCCTGGCCTCAAAACTCTATAGTCTCCTTTAGGCATACAATCTAAATCCTTTCTGCTCTTGCCTAGATCCTAATTAAAGAAAAACCGTGGACGGTATGGGCATGAATGAGAATGGGAGAAGGCAGGGAGGCAGATATCCAAGGCCCCCAGGAAAGTAGATGGGTCAGCATTACAGCCACTCACCCTTCTGCTGCAGGGCCAACTGGCGCTTGGTCTCAATGTCCTGCAGGGTGGCTGCCAGGTTTCGAGGAAGGCTTCCTGTGCCATTCTGGGCAAGTAGAGCACCCTGGAGGGAGGTGGAACGATGGAACATGAGGCTCAAAAGAACCCCCACCAAGGCTTTTGTGGGTGACTTTGGCCTCTCCCCATTGTAGGAGTCTCCATTACCCTACCACCACCATCCTCCTATGCACACAGCCCACCCACTGTCCTCAGACCTTTGGGGAGGAGCTACGACCCAGGGTAGCCACACTGAGCTGGGAGGAGGAGGAGGAAGAGCCAGAGGAAGAGGAAAGGGGGCCACTACGGTTACGGAGCAGAGGGCTGGTTGCTTCCCCATCCGTCTTGGAGCGGTAAACCTAGAGGGAAAAAATACTGCCTGGTGAACCCCAGCTCTCCCACCGTTACCACAGTGACCCCCCCTCCCCGTGCCCCACCCCTTGCCCCCGGTCTCCTAGGCTGGGATCCAAGTTACTGTTCAGGTACCAGGCTTCTGTCTCCAGTTGACAACAACACTGAGCCTCCTGGGCCAGCCCAATAGGCAGACATTGGCAGCTGCCGAGCCTCCTTTTCAGACTGTTCTTTCTTGGGACAATCCCTGGTCCAACCCTGCATCTTAGAGAGAACTTTGTAAATGAACCCATGCAAGGAGTTAACATTGCCTGGGCAGAGTTGCACAGAAGACCAACTGGAGGCCAGGGTTCCCTCTGGTCCCAGCTCTACCACTAACGTGCTGTGTGACCCTGGGCAATGCATCTCCCCAGTCTGGGCCTTGGATTCCTTCCTTGGAAAAGGAGTGGGAATGTCTAGACTGAGTAACTGCCAAGCTCACTCACGGCATTACTATTTGGTGAATATGCTCTTTGGAGTTAAGAACCCTAATTCTCAGCATAGGCTCTGCTACTGCCTAGTTGTGTGGCCTTGGGTAGATTACTTATCTTCTCTGAGCCAAAGTGTTTGATCTGTAAAATGTTAACAATATCTAGTTCAAAGTCCTATGGTGATTAAATGAATCAAAACATAAAAATCTACAACCAGCTGGGCACAAGGAGAGGTGCCCCACATTACATAAACTGAACTCCTCCCAAAGGGAATATGGAATTTCAGCTCAGATCAGTCTTAGAGGCACAATGCCTTCACTCAAGGAATGAATCTTGAATGATACAGTCTTAGGTACTACAGCAGGTCAGTGGAGTGAAACCTGGGGGAAAAGACTATCCAAATACTCCTTCCGAACCCTCTGGTCAGCAGCTTTCTGCAGGCTCAGGTAGACCCAGGGCCTCCATACCAACTCTCAGACTCAGGCATTAGGTCTGAGAGTCTCAGACTCTCAGACTCAGGGTTAGGCATGTCCTCAGGGCTATCACTTCATAGTCTTTCTGTCCTGCCTTCAAGTGTCATCCCTGGAAATACCAGGAGAGCAGGATGCTGGCAGTTCTCACAGGCTGCAACAGGCTTAAGAGTGTGTTAGGTCCCCAGACTGAGTAAGAAGCTCTGAGGTTGAGGGCTGCCAAGGACAGGGCAGCTGTAGTCTAACCCACACAGGGCACCAAACAGATCTCAACCTGACCAGTGCTCCCAAACCCTCCCTACTGGACAGTCAACCATGTCACCTTGGGACTTGTGAAGCTGGCTCTCCAGCTACCCAAAATGCCAGGATGGTTGCCCATGAGGAAACTCTCACTGCCATCTCAGGGTCCAGAGACCCCACGTTGCCCTGGCTGGACTTAACCCCCACAATCTAAGGTGGTCTGTGTGACTAATGGATTGGCAGAAGGTACCCAGAGAGGCAAGGAGCAGGGATGGGGGAGGGGTGGGCAGTAAAGAAGGGGGTTACCTGCAGTTGACGAAAAGCTTTGGTGGGCAGAGGCAGGGGAGAGGAGCGAGGGGAGGCTGCAGCAGGGCCAGTCCCCAGCCCGGCCATCAGCTCCTGGTACCACTGCTCTAAGTCTACAGCAGGGAACAGCAGCTTCTCCATCTAGAGGAGAGCATGGGGAGAGCAACAGGATACAAGAGGGGAAGGATGGAGAGGAAAAATCAGGAAATGAGGGGAAAGAAAAAGGGAGAAGAAAGCAAAAGATTGGAGGAAGGTTAAAGGAAAGCAATTATCAGAAAAAATGACAGGAAGGTGAGGGAAGCAGGCAAGGAAGGGAGAAAGAACAGAAAGAGAAGGAAGAGAAAACAGTTGTGAATGTGCTAAGGCCAAAGAGAAAGAGTCAGGGCATAACTCCCAAAACACAGACAAGTGCTATGCCAATCAGAGCCCACAGGCACTGACCAATCCCCTGGGGCTGGCCTAGAGCTGGGAAGATAGGAGAGCAGGGGCAAAACACACAAACAGACCCACACCAGTAATGGGCTGGGGGTGGCCGAAACACACAGACCACCAACCTTGGGTGAAGGTGTGAGAGAAGCAAAGGAGGAAGAAGATAGCAGAATGGGAGGAAGGCAGGTGGTGGGAGCCAGGTCCTGGGAGGCAGAGGCTCAGAGAGACGGGACTGGCCCAGGGGCTGTGGGCACAGGTGAGGTGCCCCACAACGCCTTTGGATACTCAAGCATCCCATACTTGGAGGAAGGCCAGAACACAGGAGAGAATACGAGAGGTTCATGGGACTGGAACACAAGAGATGGTCCTGTCCATGGGCAAGGGAAAAGCAAGTGTAGGAAGCACAGAGCAGAGGAGGCTTGCATAACCCAGGGAAGCCAGAGGCCTCTAAACATGATGCCCTCATGGTACAGCAGAAGGTCTGCTCCTATGTGAGCCATCAGGAGTGGGAGGAAACCCCTGAGCCCTAGGGAAGAGAGAGAACCATTCCCAGCCTCCTTTATGCCAGCTGCCCTTCTCCTTCACTGTCCCCCAACCCAGACCTGAGGAGCAATTGAGGGCATCCATGAAGAGGTCCCTGGGCACAAGCTGATACCTCCCTGTTAGGCAGGGGCTGGGTGAGCATGGGGGAGGTTGGGGGCAGGGGAGAGACTGGGGTGGGTGTGGAGGGGCAGAAGCCTAGGGGGTCCAAGCAGAGAACAGCTAGAGAACCTCTGCCAGACTCATACTCCCAGGGTGCCCAGTGGGTAGGGAGGGGAGGCAGAGGATAAGTTAACAGGTTCAACCAGGTACCAGACACCCAAAATTCACATCTTAGAGCCATCATTCATTTCATACAAAATCTAGAGCAGGGGTGGGGAACTCAACTATCCACTGTAACCATAGATGGCTGTGGGGGCAGCAAGGGACCAAAAAAGGGCAGGCAGAGCTAGTGTGTGTAGGCTCTTCTCGACATTCACTTCTGAGGCTGCCTTGGCACCTAGGGCCTGCTCCAAGCAGACCCTGAAGGCCCATCCCTGGGTTTGGCCTGGGCTAGGAGCAGGCGAAGAAGCCTAGGAAGGGCCTTCCAAGAACCCACCAGGACACAACACCTTGAGCACCCCCAGTGGGGCACACACACATAGCATCAAATACCAGTCACACCATTCCAGAGGGTCCCCTTGCACTCCATCTGCTGGAGCAGTGGATGGCTCTAAGAAGTGGGGGTAGAAACACCTCTAGGGCTTGAGCAAGATGGGCTCTGAGAAAGAGGCCTTGGCAGGAAGCAGCGAAAAGCAAAATGGGCCACTGCCCAAGCAAGGGTTAGGACTTGGAAAGATGCTAGCACATTACACTGGGGGCTGGAAGGCCAGGAACTGTCATATTTCCGGAGCATATCCTTAGAACCCTGAGCTTAACTAGGTGTTGGGAGCACAGCAGGCATCCAAGATACATGCTAAGTCTGTGGCCATACCACCCTGAACGTACCCAATCTTGTCCAAAATGCATGCTGAATCAAAGCACAATGGCCCTATCCAGGGGGAGCCCATTCTGGACTAGCTCCAGAGGTTAATTGTCCTCTGAGGTCACAGAAAATGAAAACAAGCTAGAGGGTCCAGTGTTTGTGAAAACTGAGAAATGGCATGCACAATACACACAAATTAATATGCAAACTGATACTCTGATTTTTTTATTGGCTGTGCAGACACATGGGCATTCATTGAAACTTACAAAACTCTGGCCAAAGGATTATTGCTACACACCCTTCAGCTGGGTCCTTGGGAGAAGCTGTAGACAAGATCTCAGCAAGCAGGCAGACAGGCAGTCTGAACACAGCAGAGCAAGCAGTTAGCTGTGATTACCTCTTGTGCTTTGGGGCAGAGCTGACTGAAAGCAGGTGGGGTTAAGGGGACAGAGGAGGCACCAGCCTTAGATGACCCTGGGAATGGGCCCAGAGCTGCAGTCCCCAGCTCCTTCTCCGAGGACTCGGAGATGAGCAGTTCAGCCTACAGAAAGGGTATGTGGTAAGGGCTCTTAGCTCTCATACTCAGCCCAGCCACCCCATCCCAGGCCTAAATTGCTCATGCAGTGAGGCAGGGAGGACGGGAAAGGGTACAGAAAACTAGGCATGCCCTCTTTGGACCTTACACACCAAGGATGAAAAGACTCAGGAAAGAATGGCTTAAGGGGCCTAAATGCCCACTTCTGAACTAAGAGCCTAGTTCTAGACCAAGGCCCAGGGACTACAAGATCAGGAGCCTATGCTCCCCATGAAGGTAAGTCTGCCCAGCCCTGGCCTTTTCCAAACCTCTGAATACCCCATCTTCTTCACAATGTATTCAGTCACCAAAAAGAGTAAGATCAGTGGGCTCCTGGAAGCCAGAAAGAAAACTAAACAGAAGTAGCTGGTAGCCATAGAGCATCCCAGACCTCAGGACCATTCCCAATTGCATCTCTCTGATTCAGGAAAATGTCCCCATACTCAATCTCAGCCATTAGGGTGCAAGTACCACATGTTGCTCCACAGCCTCCCAGGAGAACCCTTGGGCCTGAAGCTGGGCTGACCCAACCATATTACCTCTTTGAGGGTCGATGTGGTCTTTGGGAAAGGCCTGCCTCCTGTGAGTGAGTGGTATCTTCTTTCCAACATAGTCACTTTCTCCTTCTCCTACAAGTCCAAAATGTCAGAGAATAAAAAAGGAGTAGAGTGACAGCAAGGAAGAAGCCCAAGCAAGGGGGGAATCCTGTACTACCCTCCTCCTCCCCCACCCGCCCGCCCTACCCAGCTGAGCTACCTTCTGCAGCAGCTGCAGGGAGGCATTCTTGTCCCGGGCCAACCGCTCCGACTCCTGCACGGCCTGAGCCCGGATCTGCCCAGCCTGACTGTCCAGGATTGCCAGGTGCTCCTGGAGGACAAGGGGTTGGTCAGTCAGACCCTGGGGAGACAGGGCTGAGCACAAGGTGAGGCTTGACTGTCTCTCCTGTCACTTTGAGAGACCCTAGCCTTGGGTGAAGGCAATCAACCAGCTCTTCTGCTTGGCCTCAACTTATCCCAGGAAAAGCCAGGTTGCTGCTATGGTCAGCCCCATCCCCTATCCCTGCCTTGACCAGTGACCCCTGTTTCACCAGGCATACCACCCAGAACCCAAGTCCCTAAACCTCCCTCCCCTCTAACCCCACAGTCAACAAATCCAGAATCCTGCAGATACTGAACAGTCTCCAACTTTGTCTTTGCCCCCATCCCACCTCCACTGCCACCACCCAAATCCAGGCCCCTAGGTTTCCCAGCCTGAACTTTGTCACCAGCCTCCTGCTTCCAACTGTCTCAGCTTTGTGATCCAGTCCACACTGCCACAAACACCTTTCTGAAATGGTCTTTGAGGTTTGTTTTTGTTTGTTTGCTTATCTGAATTTTCTAATCTCTCTAAGGACAATATACATTACTTAAATAATTTTTTAAAAATCCACAAGTAGCCCTGGCTGGTGTAGCTCAGTGGATTGAGCGCGGGCCTGCAAACCAGACTATCGTGGTTCGATTCCCAGTCAGGGCACATGCCTGGGTTGCAGGCCAGTTTCCGGCAGGGGATACATGAGAGGCAACCATACATTGACATTTCTCTCCCTCTCTCCTTCCCCTCCCCTCTGAAGATAAATAAATAAAATATTTTTAAAAAAACCCACAAGTAAAGTTAGATTACTCCTAAAAATCCTCCAATGATTCCTCATTACTCCTGGGATAAAGTACAAACTCCTAAACCAGAATTCAAGGCTCCCAGAACTGGCTCTATACCTTTCAGCTCCCTCCTGCCCTGAGCCCTCTGTGTTCTGAGTCCTGCCATGTTGTACACTCAGCTGCGAAGATGTGTACTCTCAGGCCTTTCTTAAACTGCTCCCTTACCCCAGAAGAGCTATCCCTGTCTTCTTCACCCATCAAGAGCTTACTTATCCTCCAAGACCAGATGAAATGCTATCTTTTCTCTAACATCTTCCTTGATCACCACTATTTCTTTGTTCCTCCTTCTGTGCTCAGATTATTTTGTATCACCATTTGCCTTATATTACTCTTACTTGTGAATATATGTCTCCATCAACACCACCCCACCCAGGTTGTCAGATCCAAGAGCAGGGCCAGTGTCTTTTCTATCTCCACATCCCCAATAGGGCTTTAGCCAATGCCTGGCTCAAAATTCATGTTCTTAAAAAAAAAAAAAAAGAGTTAATAAGTGAGAGAAAAGGATGAAGGCTGGGAAAAATGGGCTGGGTTAGTTCCAAGAGAATTTTCTGAAAGAGATGGCCTTAAATTACCACTGTTAAGAGCAAGACATGGTAAAGAGGGAAGAAAGGAGGAAGTTGACCCAAATCTGGGGTCAGCCCAAGAAAAGACTGAAGCAGAGGAGGCAGTAAGCCTCACAGCAAGATCTGCTCTTTACAGTTTAGTGAGAACCTATTAGGACCCAAGAACTCTGCTAAATGCTTTGTATTTGTTACCTCCTTTTACCCTATTATGAGGCAGGTGCCTTTATGTCCATTTTACTAATCAGAACACTGACATATTTAGGAGGTAAGATATCTTAGCTGGTAAGTGGCAGAGCTAGGAGTAGAACCAGATCTGCTGGACACCAAAGACATACTCCAAACTACTCTGAACCAGACTGGAGAGGACAGGGACGCACAGGGCACCAGGGCAGATAGAAACTGGGGTGGGTGGGATGCTGCAAGCCAAGAATTAAAGAGGAGCAAGGCTCATGAGGAGAAGCACAGGGAAGAATATGACCCCTGAGTCCCAGTAACTGAACATCAGTTTTCTAGGGGCCTGGGTGGGCATGGAAGACAAGAGATCAGGAGTCTCATACTGCTGACCCCTCCCAAATTCCCTGGAGCTTATACCCACTGAGACCTGGAAGTGACGGCATTAGATGATCTAAGGCTCCCTGATGCAATCTCTCTAGAAGGAAAGAGAAAGAGGCCGGAGAAGTGCCAACTCCCAACCCCAGTATAGTATAATATAGAAGGAACAAGGGCTTTGAGACCAGGTAGTCCTGGGTTCCCATTCTGGGTCTGAAGCTTATAAATTGGGAAGTTTTGGGCAATTCTAGAGAATCTCTGCATTCATTGTAAGGGGGGGGGACAAAAGTAGGTTTACAGTTGTGATGCAAAACACAGCTTATTTTTGCATTATTATTATTGTAATATTTTCCATATGAACAACTGTAAACCTACTTTTGCCCAATCCTGTATATAAAATGAGGAAAGAGCCCTGCCCAGGTAGCTCAGTTGGTTAGAGCATCATCTCCATACACCAAGGTTGCAGGTTTGACCCCCAGTTAGGGCACATACAAGAATCAACCAATGAATGAATAAATAAGTGGAATGACAAACTGGTATTTCTTTAAAATAAGGTATGAGTACTGGGCTTAGGAAACCATCCTAAAGTCAGCATGAGATAATACAAGGAAGACCACATACCCATGTGCTTGGGAAATGCTAGTTTTCTTCCTCTTATCACATCAGAAGTAGATGCATTTGTAAGGCAGGGCAACTCAGAAAGAGAAGCAAGTGATCTGAATTCATGGGGTGGTCCAGTGGCTCCCTACTTCCCGCCAAACCCAGGCTAGTCTTCAAGCCCCCGACTCACTACTTTTTGACATCCCTCCCTGATCTCACTGCCCTCACCTCCCACCACTCACTCCAGCCAGGCAAACTGCACAGGCATGCATGTGTGCATGTATACACACATCTCAGCCACAAGCATGTGAGCTGCCTGGTAGCTCCTCCAGTCTCCTTCTCAACACCTTCCTAACCCTTGCTTGACATATGCCTCCTCCCAACTTTACTCCCCACACTCAGGCACACATGTTTCTGCCCCCATCACCCTGTCCTGCTCTGGCTGAAATCAGAAGCAATCATAGCATCTGGAGCTGGCCAGGACACAAAAGCCAGTCCCCTTGATTTATGGCTCAGCTGACCCAGGGCAGAGCCAAGGCTGAAAACCAGATGATGCCCTCCCTCAGACCCCTGGCTGACTCTAATATCCAGATCTTAGGTCTCTGGACACATCCCAGACAGAGAGCCCTGCAATGTCAGGAACAAGCCTACTGTTCAGCCTCCTCCTCCTCCATCTCCATCTTTCACTTCCCAGCTAGTGCCCAGTTCAGAATGTGAGCCCAAATCACTTTCCACCAAAGACTCAAGGAGTCAGGGCTTAATAACAATAGCCACAGTTTGCTGAGTGCTTACTATGATTATATCCTCTACTGTCTTAACATTATCCTGGTATAATTCTCACAACAGCCTGTTATTGTTCTCATTTTATGATGAGGAAACCGAGGCTCAGAGACAGGAAGTTAATATTCATGAGATCATCAACTGGGATTCAAACCCAGGTCACTGGCCTTCAACCCCACCCAAGGAATGGGGTGGGACACACCTTCCTTTTGGTGATGCTGCGGAGCAGCTCAGCCTTGCTCAGGAGAAGGCCCTGGCTGGCCAACTCCCGCTCCTCCTCCACATGGCTCTCCCGCTCCAGCTGCTGGAACTCCAAGTCCTCAAACAGCTTTGTCTCTGTCTCCAGGGCCTCTGCCTCCTTGAAAGATAATGACAAAGAGGGAGTTGGGTTGTGCTCAAAATACCACTCTGAGCCTGGAAGGCCAGGCCACAGAAGTGTTAGTTTGGGGGGCTAGACCTGGGAAAACCGGGAATGACCTGTGCCCATCCAACCCCCTTTCCTCTGCTTGGCTTTGCCCCTTCCACAGGCATCACTGCCTGGAGCAGGAGAAAGGAGAAAACAGATCCTCCCAATCCTTCCCTGTCCCCTCCAAACCAAAGCACCGACCCTGGTGTCCTGGCAGGTACTTCAGGGCCCAGGTGGTCCTGTCCCACTGCTCTCCTCTCATCCAGGCAGGTGGCCCTCAGGGCCAGGGAAAGGGGGCTGGTGAAACTGACCCTTCTCAGCTGCTCCTGTAACTGTTCCCGCACTGACTCGGGGCAGTTATCGAGTTGCATCTGGAGCTTGGCGTAGAGAGCCTGGTGGGCCTCCAGGTGCCTCCGTCCTGTGGCCAGCTCTGCCCTCTCCTGGTTGGCGGGAGGGGGAGAGGGCGGGCACAGGGGGAGAAACAGAACACACACTCCTCAACTCCGGTCCTGGCAGGCAGCAGGGGCCATGGGGAGGGGGCAGGGAGGGTAGGAGAGAAAAACAGAGAGCGGGAAATGGGGTGGGAGAGAAGAGAAAAAAAGACGAGGAATAGAAGAGAATAATAACCAGGAAAGGAGAAAGAAAAGAAGAGAAAGGGGAAATAAGGGGGAAGAGGTAAAGAGTGGGAGAAGCAAGGAGCTGAAGTATATATAAGGCCTTGGAAATACAGAGGATGGTGTACCACAGGCAGAAACTTTGGTCTCTTGGAGTCCCTTAAACTAGAAACATTTGGGTAGGTCGTAAGAAAAGGCCTTCTGTTTTCTCTCTTCAGGGCTATAAAGGTGGTTCCACATCACAAATATGGAGCTTCTAGCTCCTGTTCCTCCCCCTCTTCCACTGCCCAGAGACCAAAATTTCACCCTGGGGAAAAAAGGATGGAGATGGTGAGGGTTAAATCCAGGGGATGTGTGTGAATCAGGAGCTGAGAATATAAAGCTACAGCAGTGCAGTGAGGGGACCCAAGCCCAACACCCTTGGCCTCCCTCCCTCTGCCCAGGGTGGGGGTAGGGTGCTGGCACAGCAGGCTGAACTTCAGCAGATGAGGGCTGCAATTAGTTCAGGCGTTACCATGGTAACAGGTGCCTAGGGATGGGTACAGAGTGGAGGTGGATGGCTCTGTCTGGGCCAAGATGACACCTCTGAGGGCAGGGCAGGGAGGGGAGGAGCTGATGAGTCACCCCTCTTAAGGACAGGCAGAGGAGAAATTATGACTACTGATTCCAAAGCCAGAGTGGGGCTATGGGATAGGGGCTGGAGAGGAAAGCTGACTGAGACCACTACCACCACCACTTCGAATAACTGGGCCCAGAGAAGAGATAAAGTCCAGGACTCTGAAATGCCAGGTAAATGAGAAATGAGGTTCCTTCTGAAACCACAGGCTTCACCTGGAAGTAAGACCCTGTGCCGAACCCTGCCCCCACCCACCCCTACATTCCACCCCATCCCTGGAGAAGAGGACCTGATCAGTTCAGTCCTGGAATCTAAGTACTTCCCCATCCTTGGACTCAGCCTTTATAATAACCTATGTTCTAGATGCCTTAGGGGCAGGACAGGAGGAGAGGCTACCCATTTCCACCTCTTCTTGATGTATCTGAATTTGGGAAGCCCCAAGGGGAAGAGAGTATGGCATGGCAGAGAGTCCCTGTCCCAGCACTCTACAAGTCATGACACAACTATACCTCCTTACCCTCCTGCTCTGGAAGGAAGGTGAGTAGATGGCTGGAGGACAACAGTCTGTGGAGGCAACACCTGGAGGAGCTCTTCAGATTGAGAAGCTCCTCAGCCAAGCATTTCCCCAACCTTGTACACACCCTGCTAATTCCCCACTGAGTAAAGTTGAGTTGTGCCCCTTGCCTATTCCTCTCTGATCAAAACCTTGGGGCCCCACACCAAGGAAGAAGGCACCATTAGAGGGGAGAGGCCAAGAGCCCATGGAGTTAGTGCAAAAGCAGGCATGGCTCAGCCCCGCTTGGGTGGCACTGGCAGTTAGGGGCATGCGGAGAGCCCAGGGCAGTGACTGGGGGAAAGTGGGGGACGTTAGTGCAGGCCAGTTTGGTAAGCACGGAGTTAATTTGGCACAGAATTTGGGAGTGTGGTTTTGGGGGGCCAAAGCCAAAACTCAAAAAAACAGGACTGTCAAAGAATTTTGAAGAGCCTCAAAACTGAGGGAAGGAGAAAGATACTCTCAAAAAATGCAGGAGGAAAATTATTCTTAGAAAAATACTGTCAAGTCCAAAAATAGATGGCCCCTCTCCACTTCAGAGTTTTTTGGCACATTGTAGGGCATTGCGGGCATGGCTGGCACAGCCCCTGTGGGATGGAGTAGCCCCTGCAGGCTGGCATGAAATCTGAAAGGGGCAGGCGCAGGAGCTAGGACCATCTGGAATAGGAGACTGCAGATTATGAAGGCTCAGAGGAAGCACTGTCCCAAGGGCCACCTTCCAAATACCACTTCCTGAGCACATAAAGCATGCTTAGAGAGATTCTCCAGATGGAGAGACCCAAACCTCAATCACTTCCCAACACCAGTCCCTCAGCTCTGTGATTACTGCCCAAAAAGAGGTTTTGGTACTTTCTAGAAGGGCCATGAAGGATCCAGAATGGCAGGCACCCAGGAACACAGAGGTAGCAGAGACCCAGACAGAGGAGACCCCAGACACCAACCCAGCCCACAGTGATGTCCAAGCTGGTACCTTCCACAGAGGACAAAGTCCCTACCCCTGAAGTGGCACAGAGACCACCTGGTGTGTAGGCTGGATGATGAGGGGAGAGGTAAGGGGCCCCAGAGAAGACACTTCTCCTTCTCTCCTAGGCCACTGGTCCCCAGCATGAATGAGGCCATGTGTTGGTTACCTTATCCCTCTCCTTTTGGACGCCCGTCTCCAAGGTCACCAGCTTCTCCTGCAGCTGGTCCACTGCCTTCTGTTCCTTCTGCAGCAGGGCCCATTCTGCCTCCCTCTCCCCCTGCAGCAGCGCCCGCTCCATTTCTGCCTGGGAGCAATACCAGGGTCCACATCAAGGCCAGTCAAGGCAGCTGGACTCACACCACTCCCGAGGCCTTCACTCTGTCAAAGTCCTGAGGCTTACCTCTCGGGCTGACTCCTGTAGTTGCTGCTCCAGCTCCTTCACACGGACCTTGAGCTGCTCCACTCGCCCCAGCACCTGAGCCCGCTCCTCCTCCAGGGCCAGCACCTCTCCTTGGAGCTTGGTGCTAGGCGCATCTTCATGCTGGAAGGGAGGAAAGCCATCAATTGGAGAAGTCTAGAGCCTTCCAGGATGAGACTAAGAGAATGGATCCCCATTACTCAGGGCACTTGGAAGGGTCAGCTGGACTGAGATAGAAAGCAAATTCCCCTCCCTGCATGGAGAGCAATACTCATTTAAATGGCATAAAGATTTACCACTAAGCCAAGTGGCTCCGTTGGTTGGAGCACCATCCCTTATACCAAAAGGTCACAGGTTCGATTCTGGGTCAGGGCACATACCTAGGTTGGGGGTTCAATCCCTGGTCGGTGCACAAACGAGAGGCAACTGATCAATGTTTCTCACATCCATGTTTCTCTCTCCCCCAGCCCCTGCCCCCTTCCTCTCTCTCTCATATAGATAAATATATCCTCCAAGTGAGGATTAAAAAAACATTTACCACTGAGTGCCAGACCTGGGTGCGGTCCAAGGAAAGGCAAGTCATAAATCATACTTATAGCTTGGCAAACTCATCAATACCTCCCTCACTTCCTTGCTGCATTTCTACACTTCTTATACCCGATCCCATTCCAAACTGAATCCTTCGATCACTTTCCATCACTGGGCTTAACACCACCACAGATGCCTGCCTGCTCTGCCTCCTGGAAAGGTCCAACCACAGCCCTCACCCAGCCCAGCCCCTAACATCCTACCTCCTGCTGAGTGCTCTCAGTGCTACTGCACTCTTCCTTGAGATTTTCCTCATCTGAGCGTTCCATACTCTCCCACAGGCGTTGGGTGGCACCTCCAGGCTCCTCATTGCTCCGCCCACAGGTTCCAATGGCCCCCGAAAGGCCTTGTGAGGGCCTCTGGTCTGCCAATGCCAATGCTACAGTGGCCTCCCCGATGCTGGGCAGCTCCCCAGCCTCAGGTCCCCCATCAGCCCGGGTGTACTCTGCACACAGGTTGAGGATGGTCTCTAGGCGCTGCCGTTCCTGGGAATTGTAGACAGACAGAGCAGGGCATGAAGGGGAGGAGGCAGGGTCCTGGTGGTGCTAGAGCCAAGCACAGTGTCCTGCCAGGAGAGAGAACTAGGATACTAGGGGCATGAGGCTCAGAATCAGGCCATGAAAGTTACCCCCCACTCCACACAAGGTCTAAGGAGGCAGAGGGAATGAGACTGCCCAGAAATGAGCAGGAGATACCAGGCTATTGTGTCACCAGCTCATATGGCTAGCCCTTCCTGTCTTCCTTTTTCCTTTCCCTTCTCATCCCAGGGTGGGACACACCCAGACACACCTGGGAACACACACTAAGCAAAGCAGATTTAAGACCACAAGGAGACAAAGATAAACACTCAAGCATTCATGCTGACACAAATACATGACGATCCATGACATAAGGAGATACAGAGACACTCCAACACACCACTGACAGAGGACAAAACGTGTCCAGGGCCTGCGTTAACAGGCAGGTAAACACAAAAACATCAGCCCTGACATGCACAAATGCACACCAATTCACACTTACACAGATAAACACAGCCCAGCATAAAGACAGGTGGGCACTGACACAGAGCTGGAAAACAGACCCCTGAGCCCACAGGGACCTCACACAGTTCATACAAAGAAATACTCAGCATGCATACACCTGCCAGACAGATCTGGGACATGGTCCTCCTCATCTCCACCTTCACTCCAAGTCACTCAGGCAGCCCTCAACTCTTGGCTCCTTCCCAGCAGGGTGAACTGCTTAAATGTTCTGGCCCATGTGAGTGCTCCATGGCCCTGGCACTTAGTCTGGCCCCTCCCCACACACAGCCCACCCGAGGTATCTCTCAGGTAAAGGAAGGAAGGTAAAATCATATTCCGGGTCTGTGTCCCCCTTTCCCATTCATAACACCCCAGCCTCCCCCATGGCTCTCCAGGGTCCCTCAACCTCAGCTGTATCCCACCATGTACAGTTTGGCCATGACCCCCTAGACACTTACCCAGCTTCCCTGCTGTTGCTTGCCCAATTCCATGGCAAAAATAAAAATTAAAAGCAGGAACACCCTCAGCACCCAGGAGTCTGGGCCAGTGCCTCCATCCCTAACTCAGTACCCAGATAAGCAGCCTGGTTGAGGTGGGAGGGGCAAGGCAGGCAGCCTCCAAGGTTTAAAGTGGCAGGTGGGGCAGGTCAGGGCTAGTGATGAGGTATGTGCTCATGTGAGGGGTAGGGAAACTGAATGGAGGAGTTGGAAGAGGCTGAACCACCACTCTGCCTGTGCCAGGCTCACTGGCCCCTCTCCAGAATGAGCCCCCACAGTGGGCCAAGCCTTATCATCTGGGCAGTGAAGAGAAGATGTAGTAAGAGAAAACTGGGGATCCTGCCTCATCTCTCCCCACCCAAAACAAACACACTGCCTGACATTTTTACCTCACTAGAAGCTGTCCCAACCTCTTCAAAAAGGGTCTCCAGACAAACCTCCTCAATTCTCATTCTCCTCCTCTAACCAATCTCAGGGCCCCTGAGCCCTGCCCAGGAACCCCATTCTTCTGCTCACAAGAGAGAATGGGCAGAATTCATTCTGTTGTATATGTACTCAAGTGTGGACACACCAGCAGAGCCCCTTGAGTTCCCTGTGCTCTCTGGGAATCTAACCCCCACCCAGCTCAGATGCTATCTCTAGGACAGAGCCACACCTGCCCCGCAAATGCCACAACACATACAATCACACAGGCTGCCCAACACATACAATCACAGGCTGCCCAGATCAGGCAAGGGGCTGCCCATCCTGTTCTCTTCCTCTTTCCTGCCACCTACATTCCCAGATGATCCTGCACAGGCCAAGGTAAGCAGCTTCTATCCATTTATAGATGCCAAAGTGAAGCAAGAAAGGACCAGGGGATTTTCCAAAGAACAAAACTTGGAAAGATAGGAGACTCGGGTTCCAATCCCAGCAGTGCAATTTGCTGTGTGGCCTAGGAAAAACCCATTCTGCTCTCTGGGCCTCAGACCTGCTTCTCAAACTGAAAGTGCAAGGCCTCAACCATATATGTGGTGTGAATGCTTCACCCTACAGCTTCAATGTATTCAGGTAAATAACATGAAAGTATACACATGAAAACAAAAGCTGTGTTATAGACTAAATGCATAATTAGTATGAACTTAAAATTAAAGCCTTAGAAACTTCAAAGAAAGCTCTTCAGGGCATCAGAACATTGAGATACCAGTCACTACGGTGTATCCTGGGGGAAGCTTGAGAAGCCCAGGCCTGTCCCTGGGCCCCTCCCATTCTGCCAGCTGGCTGCCCACATGCCGGTAGAGACCTTGCACTAGAGGTCAACGACCTCCCTTGGCACCCACTCACCAGCCTCTCCATCTCCTGCTCCCGAAGCCGCTCTTGGCGCTGCCGCCGGTGGTACTCCAGAAGGTCATCCTCATTGTCGCTGATCTCCGTGATGCTATTTTTCCGCTCTCGAGTGACAGGCACCTGTAAGTCTCCACTGGAGAGCTTCCTCCGGGCACGGGGGCTCTGCTGGGGCAAAGCCCCAGTCAAAGAGCCCAGACTGTAGGCTGGGCTCAGCCTGCCACTGAAGCTGCCCTTGCGAGGTGCCAGGGACTCCCCGAGTGTGGGCGAGGGGCTCCGTGTCCTATGGCCCCATGTCCCCAGTGTCAGTGAGAAGTCCTCTGGTGAAGCCCCATGGGCTGCCCAGCGCCGGGGCCGGGGACTCTCTGCCACTTGGGTTCGTTTGGGATCTGGGGTGGTACGAGAGGGCATGGGAGAGACAGCCCGCCTGGACAGAGATGGGCTCAAGGGAGGGAGTTCTCGCATACTGTCCAGGCCCCGCCGGCTCAGACGGGGACTCTCAGGAGGCTGTAAGGTGCGGGTGGCTGACCCATCTGAAAATGTTCGGCCCACCAAATGGTGTGAGGGGCTAGTTGTCAACACCCGCTCAGTGCCTGGCAGCTCATGTAGAGGGCTGGGAGGGCAGTCTTGAAGTGTGCCAATTTTGTTTTGAGGAACAAGGGCTGGAGGCTGGAACTTAGAGCTGCCAGGAATGCTTGGGGATTGGCTGTGGGCACTGGAAGCTAGGTATTCACTCAGGCTGATAGCGACCGCAGGCAGCTGCCCACCGAGCCAGGGCTTCTCAGTGGTTCTGCGGGCCTCTGCCAAGATAGTAGCTGCAGGGCTATCTGTCAGCAGACCCCGGAGGCCAGGGCTCAGAGGCCTCTCATTACCTGCCTTTCTGCCCAGCCGAGGGCTCTCAGAGGAGTGGCCACCACTAGGTCGGGACTGTAGGGGCTGCAGAACCAGATGGTAGCTCGAGGAACGAGCAGGTACCAGCGGAGGTATGGAAGGTACTGGCTCATGGCCACTGGGTGAGTGGCTGGCACAGCTTCCACTGCTGGCTGGTGAGGAGAGTGGAGAGAAGGCTGGAGAGGTGTTCTCGTAGCTGGAGCCCACAGACATGGCACCAGGGCTGGTTGCAGGGGACAGCAGGTAACGACCACCATTAGCCACTGGCAAGAGTGGGGAAGTTACAGCAGGCTTCTTGCTAGTAGCTCCAGGTTCCTCTAGCACCAGTGAATCCATGATTTCCTGCAGGTCCTTCTCAATAGAGCTCACCAGGGAACTGTGGCTGGCACAGGCCAAGGGCCCCTGGTTTGCAGGCTGTGGGGTGTGGTTCCCATTCACCAGACTTTCTGATTCTGCTAAAAGAAAATGCAAAGATGCCTCGAGTCCTGGTCTTTGACTTTGGGGAGGTCCATATACATAAGAGCAAAGGCCCTACCCCACCTTTTCTTAGCAGAGTTGGGTAGCAAAGGCTCTAGAGAAGCCAGGAGACCTGGGTTCCAGTGCCAACTCTGCCACTGACCTGCTGTGCAAATTTATCCAAGTCACTTGCCCTCAATTTTCCCTTATGTAAAGGAAAAGGATGGGTAGGAATCTTCTGGCTCTAACATTTTATCACTTAAGACAAAATTAGCAATAATGCCAGGTACTCACCCCAAGACTAGGTTCTTCCCTGCCTTGGTTTCCCCAACATCCTATTCTCTCCTTCAGGAAGAGCAGGTGAACCTTTTACAAAAGGGAGGGGGGCATGCTATGGAGCTGTCAAGTTCCAGGAGGGACCCTGGATGGTGTAGCTCAGTGGATTGAGTGCTGGCCTGTGAACCAAAGGGTCACTGGTTCAATTCCCAGTCAGGGCACATACCTGGGTTGTGGGCTAGGTCCCCAGTAGGAGGTGTGCAAGAGGAAACCACACATTGATGTTTTTTCTCTCCCTCTCTTTCTCCCTTCTTTCCCCTCTCTAAAAATAAATATATAAAATCTTTTTTTTTTTAAGTCCCAGGAGGGGTCCTAGTCTAATAGGACATTAGGGGCTACCAACACAGTAGCCAAGACCCATGAAAAAACACACACAAAGCCTCCAAGGCTGAACAAATGAATGAGGGGTGTGTGTTGCACCACTTTGTTTAATCAGAGGCAAAGTGAGGGGACTGGCACTGATGGCTAGTTCCTAAAAGCCAGGCTGATGACCAGCAGCTAGGTGCAGCTCAGTGCCTCCAACTAATCTATTCAGCCACACCAGCAAGAGCCTCCCTGTGCCCTGCCCCAGCCCTGGTCAACCAACAGAGTAGCTAGAACCACTGCCCAAACAGATGAGGGGTTGGCATGACAAGGATAAGGTGGGGCAGGGTAAAGCTAACCAGGGAATGGACTGGGAACTCAGGCATCAGAGCCCCCAGGGGAGATAACTGGGAGGTAGAGAAAGAGACAGAAAAACCTTTACAAGACTGAGTTTGCGTCCAAAATTATGAGGACTACGTAGGATCATAGTCAGAGGGGTTACCATGGACACTGGTGATCCCAATGACTACCCATCTTTCCTCTGATCCCCAGACCATCCAATTAAGCCACTGACATCATCCTGCTAGGTGTACTGCCACACATGTCCACCTATTCCAATACCATGTTGACACCTGTCATCCCACAGCCATCTGAATGCCCATGCAAAGTCTGAGATGGTAGACCTACTGGCAGCCTCCTGGTCTGCATCCCAAATTCTATGCAGCTGGGCTGAGGGGAACTGTGCTGGTTCCTTGGAATAATCACCAACTCTCCTCCGGGGGTCCATAATTCAAACCTGAACTGAGGCTGCTCCACTGAGTCATCAACTGGCATAGCAGGGCAGCGGGTGGGTCAGGGCCCAAGGACATGATCACCAACAAGTAGAAACCACCAGAGCTTACCCAGATTCAACCTAATTCTTCCTTCTGCCCACCTCAGGCCACATGCAAGAGCAAAGCTCCATTGTGGTGACACATGAGGACCAAGGTCCCAGACACTGAGGCGGCATCTTCCAGAGCAGTGGGACACAAGCTGGCAGAGTTCTCCATCTCTCAAGAATCGTGATTCCCCAAATCTAGCTGAGCAGCACTTCTTAGATCTCTCTCAGTGGCCAAAGTGCCTGGCATTCTCCACCAGTGGCCCATGGCAGGTGGCAGAAAGCCTAGATCATGAGTGTTGTCCTGCCCTGACACTACAAGTATGGCTGAAGTGGGCAAGGAGGAAGACTATTGAGGGGGTACCAACAACCCAGCCTCCTGCCCAAATTGGGTACCTACCTGGGCCAAAACTGTAGGGGGGCCTGGGAGCCTGGCCCCCTGCTGGAATCATGCTTTTCATCCACTTGGCTTCGGCCGGGTGATTAAAGCGGAGGAAGGTGGACTGACCCAGGCACAACATGCAGCCTTCAGAGAAAGAAAAACACTTGGAAGGACAGGCAGGGCTAAAGCAACCCTCATTCCACCAGCAGGTTCACCCCAGGTTCCAAAGAGCCATCCCCACCTGTACTCAGTGTCCACACCATCCACACCTGACCATACCTGTGGTTAAGAAAGGAACTGGCAGGGCTCAAGAACACAGACCAGAGTGGAAAGGGCACTGGTCCAGGAGTCCCAAGATCTAAGTACCAGTCCTAACTCTTCTTACTAACTGTGAGAAGGTGCCTTCAGGTGAAGTCACTGCACTCCCTAAGTCTAGTTTTCTCTTTAGAGAAATGAGGACAATACCACTGACATTGCAACTAAGACAGTGCCTGTGAAAGTGCTCTTCTACAAGTGGAGAAAATTCTTCAGAGAACACAGACACTCTTGTCCCCCAACCCAACATGTACTCATGACTCTTGGATGGAAGGGTAAGCTTGAGAGGCAGTAATTTCTAGGATCACAAAAAGACTCTGAGACAGGACAAGACTCTGAGACCACAGAGAAAAACCATGGTGCCCCTCAGGGTACGAAATTTGCTTCCTGACTCCAACAGTGGGAACGGCTACCACCCTTTCACTCTGACAATGTACCCTCTGGCTTGACATCCTCCTGCTCCTACGTTCTCCCCTGGAATGTAGGCCCAGCCTCAGCCAAGCACATTCCCAGGCAATAGACACAAGTCCAGTCCTGCCCAGCAAGTGGGAGCGCATGGAAGGGGGAGGGTATGCGGGAGCCAGAAAATGTAGCCAGGGGCACCAGGAGCGTGCACAGCAGCAAGTGTGCCCACAGACACCTAAGCATAGCTAGCAGAGCTCCTCCTCCTGGCCACACAGGTGCTAGGGGACTCCTTCGAAAGACACTAGGTTTGGAGAAGACAGACACCCCTACAACCCACCCTTCCAATTTGTTCACACCTCCATCCCCTGGCCCCAGCCTCCTCCTATCTGCCCAGTCTGGTGCCACCTGGCACCCCAAGCTTCATGTCAGTCTAAGCTAAGATTGGCAGGGAAATCTACATTCCTGGACGCTGAGACAGTTCAGGCCACAAGGGGCATCCCAGGCCACTTGGGTACCCTAGCAGGGCCTCTACTGAGAAGCCTGTTGCTGGAATCCAAGGCATTACCATGGGGGTGAGGAAACCTAGCAGACTGAGAAGCCCATAGCAGATAACCACAGTGGACAAAGCCACCTACTTCTTTGGCACACCCACAGGCCCTCCCAGGCAGGCGGGCACCAACAGCAATTCTAAGGGCTAATGGCTGGTTAGGAGAGGGAGAGCCTTCCTTGACAAGCCACCAATCAGAGGAGCTGACCCCAGAGTAATCATAACCAGAATAAATAATAGCCAACCATCCATCCACCTAATTACAACCACAGCTGTTTCAAAAAGAGCCCTGCCAGGCCCTTCCCCCTCCTTTCGACCAGTTTGCAGGGTCTACATATACCTACTCAATCCTAGATTGATTGGGGAATCAGGAGGTTGAGGGGGAGACCCAAGGAGGGGAATCAGGAGCCTGACCACACAGTCCAACCTGGGAAGAAGGTGGCAAGTCTGAGCAGATTCCAGCCCATCAGTGCCAGGCCCACTCAAAGAAGCTGTGGGCACCTAGGGACCCTCAGCTGTGGCTCCTACAGCTGTGAGTTCCCTGCTTCTTTCTCTGCCCCTCACCCTCCTCCATACAGGGGGTGTGGCTATGCTGCCTCTAGACTATAAATAGGTGATGCCAGGCAGCAAAACTGGATCTGTATTAATAGAGGGGGCAGGAGGGCAGCAGGACTGAGAGCAGCCCAGCTCCTTCCCAAATTAACTTTCTATTTGCACTCAGGGGCCCTGGTAACTGCCCCAACTCTAGTCCTATGCCCTCAGGAGCTTGGCCAGCCTACTTCTGGGAAAAACCCTCCTTTCAACTCTCTCCTGCCCTACATCTCCAAAAGTCAGCCCATTCAGGAAACCCAAGAATCCCTTCTCATCCAGGCAAAGTTTGGTCAGTGCCTCCCATCCCCGAAAGGTCTCAGGGCCCAATGTTGTGCTGATGGGTGGTATGGCTGCACATCTGGGGGGAGGGGACAGGGCAAAGGAGAGGGTGTATCCTCTCTCTTGAGATGCAGAGGGGAAACACCACACACAAACACACTCTCACACAGGCTCACACACACTCACAGAAATAGACTCACACAGGCACAGGCAGACATGCTCACACACTCACAGAGCCACAATCACTGCCCTGCTGGCTGCATAAATAGAAATGGACTGGCCAAAGGGAGACTGGGATAAAGAGAATATGGCAGGAAGGGTCTTAGCCCTTTCCATCAGAGACCCCTCTTAGCCTATAACACAGGTTACCCTCATCCTAACCCCATCGGACCCCTTCAACCCCATCCAGAGGCAGGTCCCATATACCCAGTGCTAGGGAAGATAAAGTCTGCCCCACTGAGGAGTGGCCCCACACCCAGACCTCCCACTGAGAAATGCCAGGGCTCAATCAAGCTCCCAAAGAGGGGGCCCTAAGGGCCCACTCCCCCTGCTCGACCCCTCCCAGCCCGAGCTATTCCAAGCCTGTCTGCCGCCGGCCCCAGGCTGAGGACTCACCGCCGAAGCAGGCCCTCCGGACCGCTGGCTCCCACTAGTTGGAATCCTCCAAGTCCCAGCCCGATCGGGGCCTTTGAGAGGGGGTGCGGACCTCCCACGCCAGCAGCTCCAGGATCAAAGCAGTTAGCAGCCAGGCAGCGAGCCGCCAACAATGCCCGAGGAGTGGACCGGCCACCAGTGTTGGGGGAAGGGAGCTAGGGGGAGGGACAAAGAAGCGGAGGAGGGAAGAGGAAGTGATGGAGGAGAAGAGAGGGGAGTAGGATGGAGAGGGCGGGGTGGGAGGATGCAGGGAGGGTGTGGGCTCCAGATTCTGGCGCCAGGGGCAAGAGCAGAAGTGGGGCAGGGTGGAAAGGTTCCAGGGAGGCGACAGAAGAAAGGGTGAGAGGTAGGTACAGAAACCAGAGGGTAAAGAGCCAGGAGGCAAGAGTGAGAATAAACGGGGTTTCACTGAGAGCCCTCTGTGATAAGAAGTCCCCAGAGGCCTGGGATGGGGCCAGATCAGCCCCTGCCTGGCTGGTCACCTTGAGCCAGTCACACCCTCTGACCTCATCTACAGAATGAGGAGATTGGCTGCCATAACTGCATAATTTATAAGCTCTGACATTCCATGGCTCCATATATCAGAGAGAAGAAGAAGGGAACTCCTAGGGATCAGTTAAGTCACAAGGTCTAGCTCTGGCCCTGTCTGCCGTGTGACAAGGTCCTTCCTGGGCTGGGAGTTCAGGCCAAGGCAGTGCTCTGGGCAATGTGACAGCACTGAGTCCAGCTCCTGTCCATCCTAAACGCTTCTGCCATCCCAGCTCCCCATATTCCCAGCAGCTCACCAATCTCCACAACCCAAGTGATATCAAGACACTGCCCCTTCTAAGCCAGCCTTCCCTGGGTCCTCCCAACCACAGCCACCAGTTATGCTAGCCCCAGCAGAGTTCTCCCTGGCTCTCTCACTTCAGGCTCCCATGTCCATAGCCCGCCCTTTCCATCTAGGAAATACAGTGCCACCTGCCTCTGGAACCCCTGGGGGCAGGCTGAGGCTCTGGGCCAGGCAAGCACCTACCACCCAGCCTGGGCCCAGAGTACCTCTTGTTCCAGGGACCTGGCCTCTGGACAACAGAACCTTAAGGGACACACTATGCTTTCTCAGACATCTCAGACACACTTGATATGCTCAGAGCTCACACAGCCCCACATTCTTGCTCTTAGATATACATCAACAATTGCTCACACAGGCACCACTTAAGCTACACACACTCTGAGTCACACAAACATTCCAGTTATACATGCTCTCTCACACACATTTATTCTCACACCAACAACCCCACGGGCACCAAGACCCCTCTTATTACACACTCACTCAGGCACAGATATCCTTTTCACTCAGTCCCTGAAGAGACTTCAGGTTGAAATAAAAAGTCAGCCTCCTTAGAGGAATGATCAAGTGGTATTTCCACCCTTACTGAACACCTACCCACACTGCTATACATGTGCTCACACACTCACATGTGCATGTGCATCTTATTCCCCTTTCGAAGGAAAAAAGAAGGACCATATATGGTCAAATGCAAAACAGGTGAACCCTTTAAAAAGAAAATCTCCTCAGGAAGGGTGATTCATCAGTCTACAAACTGTGATGGCCCAGACAGACACAGAGGATGCCCACCAGTGAGGTACAGGGCAGGAGGGCGGGTACAAGAAGTAGGAAGCTAAGAGCTTTTGCTTTTTTTTTCTCCTTCCTTTGAGCTTTTTAGTCAAGATCTTTATCAGTGTTAGAGAACAGTTGGAGACTTCGCTCCCATTTTACAGAAGAAATAACTGTGGGTGGGAGGGGAAAAGGTTCAGGGTCCTGGATCCCAGAGGGAGGCAGCTAGATAACCCAGGAATTCTGGCTCCCCAGCCATGTTCCAGGGAGCTTCCCATGATGGCCCTCACACAAGCCTCTACCCGCCAATGAGAGGCTTAGGGAGTGGAGGAAACATGGAAACAAGGGCTGGCATCAAATGCTGGTGGTAGATCAGGACCTACTGTCTATAGAGCCTGGGCCCTGAATGTGTGGCTTTCTGGGCCCTCCCCTACTTGGTCCCCTCCCAGATCTTTCATGTGGCCTGGCCCTGTGGTCCCAGGGTAGGGCAGCCTAGGGCAGACTGAAGTTCCTCCTCACTTCCTTGGTCCTATTCCCAGCTCCACCTCTTGCTCTGTAGAGAAGGCAGCACAGGATGTGCCAAAATACCCAGGTACAGGAGCGGAATCAAGAGCTTCCTGGCTCTCTCACTTCAGGCTCCCACGTCCATAGCTCTAGCTAAAGGCTGGCATCTGCTTTCTGCCTATCTCCCCCCACCCATGACCCATGCTGGAAGAGGCTGTCACTGTCTGCCAGTCATGTTCTGTGCCTCACTAAGTTGCCAAGGGCTGAGCACAGTGCCCAGAACGATCTATCTAAGACCTGGCCCAGCCACAGTAGGCTCATTATTATTTCTAGGTTAGCCGGACCTGGCCCAGCCAGAGTAGGCTCATTATTATTTCTATGTTTTTCCAAGATGAGGGTCCCCTCTACAAGGCTGGATTAGGGGAACAAGACAGGGAAAATGATTCTCTTGTACATATGCCCAAAGACAGGCATGTGGCCAAGTACTCATATACACATAAGAATACACACACGGAGACTTTGGTACCATCAGTCCTGATTCATTCCTGCCCCTACTTGAACACTCTGATCTATAGGAACACTCTGAACACAAGGAAAGACACAAAGATACACAAGTGCAAAGTCACAAACACATCCGGAGATACATAAACACACTCCAGTTACACAGATGCAGAGATAGCATATACACCCCAGAGTCATTCAGTTTCCAGGGAAACGCACTCCCAGGAATGTCCAGAGTGGGGCCAGGCAGGGCTGGGCTTGATGCCTTGCTCCAGAGATGAGACAAGGACACCCTCAGCTCCTGGAGCCCAGGGGAGGAGGAATGCTGGGGAGAAAAACACCCATTCCTTTGTACTTCTGCCTATCCCTCCCCATGCTGCCAAGGCTCTAGGACAGGTTAACCTAGACAAGAAGGCTACAGGGATGGGAAGGTGAGGAAGGGAAAAAGGGTTAGGGTCAGAAGAGAGTAGGAGGGTACATACTTGGCAGGGTGGGCTTTTGGCTGTGGAAGAATTGGGAGTCAGGGCAGGGGGTATCACAGGAAATGTCTAAGGATTCCATCTTGGCCCAGGCTGTTCCTCTTCTCAGGAAGCTAAATGATGCACTGGGAAGACTGGTCAAGAGAAGTCACAGAACATTGGTTCCTCCACTCTGCTCACAATATAGGGGAAGAATGTTCTTGCCCATGAATGTGAGGGATTTGGGGCTGGGCGAGTAAGGGCTGAGCTTTCTCTAGCTTTCTTTGAACTCTGCCCCTACCTCTCATTGATGCTCTGTCTCACTTCCTCGCACCCAAATCTTGGAGAAGATGCTTTCTTTGAGATTGAAGAAGACTATCAGCAACCAGGCGGCATCACAGCCAATGTCCCAAGGGGACATATGAGGGTTCCTCCTCTCATTCAGAGTCAGAGACCTTGAAACCCTGAAGGAAACAAGGGCTTGCCTGCTGCTGCTGGTGGGCCTGACTCCCTGAAATCAGTTGTCCCTCCCACCCCCAGGACACTCCCAAGGGCAGGAAAAAAGGCTGGGTCTCCTGAGTTATGTGTGAAGGGAGTGGTATATAGAGACTCCAAGGGGCCCTGGTTGGGTAGCTCAGTTGGTTGGAGCATCATTCCATACACCAAAAGTTTGTGGCTTTAATTCCCAGTCAGAGTGTGTATGGGGGGCAACTGATCGATGTTTCTTTCTCACATAGATGTTTCTCTTCTGTCTTCCTCTCCCTCTAAAATCAATAAACTTATCCTCAACTGAGGATTAAGAAAAATAAAAATAAAGAAACTCCAAGGGGTGTGAACAGAAGGAGCGGGAAACAGTGCAGTGAGTGGGATTTCCAATGCACAGGAGCTCCCAGCTAGTAAGAGATAAGAGTCCCAGAAAATAATTCCAGAATACCAGTCCTCCTGCTCAGAGTCAGGCTTAGCCCAAAGCTTCCATCCTCATGTTAATCCCACCTCTACACCCCCCCCACCCAAATCTGCTTTTCTCATTTCCCACCATACAAATTGATGCCCAGGGCAAACACACTTGCTCTGTCAAAGTACCAGTTGGGCCAACCCCTTACCTGCCTGGTCACCATAATAACAAGGGGCCCAGTTTTTAAAGCTCCCTTACAACGAAATGACCAACTGCTTTGGGAAACAGGGTAATAACCATATTCATGACCCCAAAACTACTGTTAACAGTTTTTTAGTAGGAGTGGGTATATCCTGAGATTTTGCCATCAGGTTTTGCCTTTCCCTATCCCCACCAGAAGGTATTGTCCTCATCTCCCCATCTCTACAGCTTTTCAGATCACAACTCCCTCTTGGCATCACAGTACGATGCCATTGTTCCCCTCACCAGTGCTCTAATTCCTCTCCCCTAGCAACTACTAATGACCACTACACCACCCTCCATGCCCTTTGATACCAGGAACTGGAATCTCTTTTTTCCCCTATGGTGTAGAAAAGACGGATGGAAGTGATCAGAGAAGAAAATTAGGATGAAGACAAGTCTAGATGCCAGAGGGTTTGGGGATGTTTAGGTACATCAGATGCACTTAAACACCCCACCTCCAATATGGCCACTGAGGTAGTTACCACAGCAACCACCAAAGCAGTCTTACCCTGCACCTATCATGCACAAACTTTTAAACAGAGGCCCCCTCTGTTTGGAGGTATCAAACCTTACCCTGAATGAGCCGAGTGGGATGCTGGACAGGGAGCCCATCAATAGCACAGGCATTGCCACAAGGGTAGAGGGTAAGGTTGCCCCGCAGATTCTCAATGTAGCAGTGCTCAGGAGCCAGGCCTGGACCCTGCAGTGTGATGTCCTTGGCCGCAGAGCCAATCATTGTTCTCCCTAAAGACAGGAGGCAGACTGAGTTAGAGGGTTTGTCCAGCCTGAGGAGGCAGGAACAGGGCAAGGAGAGCCACAATGGACATATACTTCTGCCTCCAGCTCCAGGGAGAATCATTTCCCACCACCGGCCACCCCTTTTGGGACCCTGAGCCTGATGGAAACAGTAGGTGGTAGAAGCTCTTCTCTGGCAGAGGAAGCTCTTCTCAGGCAGAGAAAACTCTGGACCTAAGATGGAAAGGCCCAGAGGGCACAGAAGGCTCCACAGAGTAAAGAATGGGGACTTCTTTTCTGCGAACCTTCCCTGATTCCCTCTAACTCTCCCTCCCTAAGTCCTTTGTCTCCTTCACAGTACTCTGCCCTCTCTCTTCTTTCTTTCCCTTTTGCCACTTATAACCCTTGCTTTACCTCACTCCCTCTCCCTTCAGTGCAGCCTCTTCCCTCACTGCTTCTGACCCTCCCCTGGCAGAGCCCCTAGGACTGGTATTTGGAGAATGTGAAGAATGTAGTATGAACGAGACAAGTGCAACCAGGACAGAAGAAAGGAAGGGCAGAAGCTGCAAAGTGAAGGGGCTGTGCCAGGGACTTATCTTGCTTGGGAGGTCTGTCCCCTATTTCCATCTGTCCATTTTTCACTGGTACATTCTCCCATGCCAGGCTTTGCCCTGGACTTGGGCCTCCTCTCTTCTTGGCCATACTGGTTGTTATGAGCAATATGCTCTCCTGTTTCAGTGCTCTCCTCCTTGTTTCTACACTGACCTTTAATCCTAGTCATGGAGCCAAATTATCTACCAAAGAGGGCAGGCAGTCTGGAGAGGCATAGACAAGGGAAGCAAACTGGTGGTGGCATCACCTCTCAGTTGGGGGAGGTGAACATTGCCAGCAGATAGTAGAAGGGCTCCAACACATACCTGGACTCCAGGGCAGGAAAGTCTATACGGATGGAGGGGTGGCAGGTGGACCGCTCCTCAACCTACCTTCCTCCAGTGGCAGAAGGGTGATAGCTGTACTGAGTCGTCCACTTCCCAGGCTCACTAGGTGGGGTTTGTCTGTTTGCACTTTAAGTCCTTTGCCCGTCTCAATCAGGTCCAAGGGTCCTTTCTGCAGTCAGTGGGGGTAGGAGATGAGAGAGTTAGAGACTCCAGACCAGCACTTTACACTCTAGTCCCAGTCACACCAGCACTCTCTCCAGCACTTGCCCTCTCCAAAGGGCTCTTAGGATGTTGAAAGGCTTAGCACAAATCTTGCACAGAGCATTATTCCACTAAAGTGTAATTAGATCTGAAACTAGGCCACTAACTCATCCCACTAGATTTATCTCAACTCCTGGCTTAACTACCCCTTTTGTCTATTAAGACAGAACAAGGAGAAAGTAAGTAAAGTGGGGAAGCACTGGGTAAGAGAAGGGGGTACTGTAGAGGAGGGCCAATCAAGACTTGTCCTGTAGACTTGTCTATGTCCTGTTAAACTAAATCACAAGGGAGGGCAGAGGCATGGATTGAGGACAGAAATACAGTGCAGGGTTAATCTATAAACCCTTTCTGACTTTCAAAGGGTATTTTCTGAGTAAACCAATTCACCTAATTCAGATAAAGACTTAGCGGTTAATAGGCTTGGGACCTAGGGAAGGGCAGAGAAGAACTGCTGCTCTCATTCTCCAACCAGGATCACAGGTGGATAGAGGAACCGAATTCAACATCACCAACAGCCCTCTTGCCTCATGGCCCCAACCCAACTCACTTGCAACATTGCTTGGGTCTTGCATCCAAGGCCTATCTGGTTCCTATTCAGAGTGTCCATGGTCAGGTGTCTCTAGAGCTCCTGGGGACATAGTGGAAAGCAGGTGAGGTGGGGAGGCCAGGGCAAAAAAGGGAAGGGAGTAGGCTCTGTGGTAGGGCTGTCATGGCAGGGACAGCACCAGTCATCATCATTTCCAGCATGCTTAGGCTCAGGAGTTTTCTGGGGGAAGGTGCTAACACATCTTCAGGCACAGCGTGGACACCACACATTACCTGTCATGGCCCTTGCCACTGTAACCACAAAAAGCCCTATAAGGCCCAACCTATACACCTGTGCTTTCTTGCCTCTGATACCCAAAACCTAGTGAGGACCCTCAGACATCTGGAGCTGTAAGCAGGGTGGGAAAAATTTACCTTAGTGGGGAGAGATGAATCCAGGGCACCTCTCTCCAAGGACATGAGTAGCCAGAGGGCTGCCAGGTGGGTAGCAGGGCGGAGATAGAAGCCCCCAACCTTTCCCTTTCTTCCTCTTCTCCCTTTGTCTCTTTTCCCAGGGGGTCTCAGTAGGATCTTTTCTTCTTTTTTTAAATTTTTATTTATTGATTTTATTTTTAAAGGTTTTATTTTTAGAGAGGAGGGGGAGGGAGGGAGAAAGAGACAGACAGAAACATCAATGTGTGAAAGACACATCGATCAGTTGCCTCTCACATGCCCACAGCTGGAGACAGAGCCGGCAACCCAGGCATGTGCCCTGACTGGGAATCAAACCAGCCCAATTCTCAGGCCAGCACTCAATCCACTGAGCCACACTACCTAGGGCTATTTATTGATTTTAGAGAGAAAGAGAAAACATCGATTTATTTTATTCCATTTATTTATGCATTCATTGGTTGATTCTTGTAATGTGCCTTGACCAGAGAATCCAACCTTGGTGTATCAGGACAATCATCTAATCAGCTGAGCTTCCTGGCCAGGGCCACAGTCTTTTCTTAAAAGAGACCAAAGAAAAACTCAACCAGAACATTAAAAAACATTTGCTGGGGAAAAATAAAAGAGAAATGCAGCCATTTCTGCTATCTCTACAGGGCTCAACTTCTGCACTGTCTCTTCTTCAGAAAGCAGTCTTGTCCCCACACAATCAGGAACAAGAAAGAAAGGAAGGAGGCAAGGACGGATGGACAGACAAACTACTGGGGTGACTAATACTGGAAATATAGGACTTTTGGATCCTAACCTGATTTGGTGCTATAGGAAGCACGCGGGTCCTTAGAACAAAGGGTAAAATAGATTCCAGACCCAGAACTTGAACTCTTTCACACCCATCTCTTTCTCCCTGGCTCACATTTTTAGTCCCTGAGAAACAAGAAGAAGGACCTCTGTGTACTAATGTGTGCCTACATTTCCATCTCTTGATCAACTTCCTAATGTGAGAACTTCTAATTTGCTGCTGAAATGTTACTGGAGAAAGTTGAGAAAAATATGGCTGAAGGCAAGATTTCCCTCTACTCTCTCTTCCAGCCAGCTACCAGCTGACTTTGAGAGGAAGTCGAGGCAAGAGCCAGCATTCCAGGGAGTGTCTGACCCTAGCAGTGGGGCCCAAGGGACTTAGCCATAGAATTAATAATTTTACCCACCCAGCTTCCACCTTTCCAGGTCTACAGACCTGGTGATGTACATCACCTCCATCACCATCACCACCCAAGCTGGCAGAAGAGAGGCCAGGCAAGAACAGGGCCTGGGGCCCATCCCAAGTCTGCTTGGGAAGATAGAAGGCAAAGGCCATTAACCTATACCAAGAACCAAGCTGCCCTGGTACCTCCTTAGGAGGAGGCAACAGGAAAAATTTTCCAGGGACCAAGACTGATGTATTGCTTCCTTCCACTCAGGGAAATCCCTCAGCATTCTGTGATGGAGGAGAAGCAAGAGACAATAGGTTGAAAATTAGGAGTGTATATACCAGAAGGGGTAAGAAAAACAAAACAAAAATGGTGAAGGAAAGCCATCATCATTTAGTGTCTAACCCTGTTCTTTATTATTTATTAGTTTTGAGATCTTGGACAAGTTACTTAACCTATCTCTGCCATGTCATTCTCTATAAAACTGGAATAATGATTTAAAATAAGATTGTGTGGATTTAGAACTTACCTGGAATGAAAAGTGACAAATAAATGGGCACAAAATTTCTTTCTTCCTTTCTTTTTTCTTGCCTGACAGGAATGTTCTAAAACTAGATTGTGATGATGGCTGTACAACTCTGTAAATATACTGAAAATAACTGAATGTACACTTAAATTAAGTGAATCTTATGGTATATACATTATACCTCAATGAAACTGCCAGTTATTACTATGAGCTTTGTGACCTTGAACGAGTCACTTCACCTTCGAGAGCCCGAGTTTCTTCATCTGTCAAAGGTCACTATCACCCTGCGAGGCATCTGTGGGTGTGTTCATTCATTTACACCAAAAAATTTTCAAGAGAAGATAGAGACTTTAAAGAGATAATGCTGAGGGGAACCAGAGTGATTAGAGAAGAGTAGAGAAGGTAATAGAGATGAAAGGGACAGATATGGGGAGAGGTGTAGGGAGAGACAGAGAAGATAAGAAAAGATGTACAGAGAAGATAAGAAAAGATGTACAGATTGGAAGGTGCAAGGCTGTGGCCCCAGCTCGGAAACCTAATCTAGGTAGGGTGGAAAAGATACACCAGAACCTACTTACGCGGTGCCTCGACAAAGCGGTTAGAGAGCCACCACCTGGGGGCGCTCTGTCCCCGGACCCCACCCTTCGCCTGCAGGACGAAGCCTTGTTGCCCCCGGGGCGTTCCCCTGTGGTTGCCTAGCCTCTGTCGGAGGTCGCTACCCATCATCCCGCTGGATTTACTCACCCTGCACACCCCCGCGATCTCCACGGCCTTTCTGGGAAACCTTGCCCCACCCCTGCCCAAAAAAGGCCCTCGCGGTTTGAGTCCACCTCTTCAGAAGACAGGCGGGAGAGAAGCACCGCCAGTCTCCGGGTAGCGTGGCAGAGGCCTGGGTGTCTGGAAATGACTGACGCGCGGGGCGACGCCGGGGCGCCCGCAGGGGAACCCGCTCCTGCCTGGCCACTCCTGCCTCCTCGTCCCGCGTAAAGAATAGCCCTACCGGGTCCCCAGCCGTCTCCGCCGACTGGGGCGTCCAGAGTCACCGCTCGAGGGTCTCCGCACCCGAATGAGGGTGGAAGGAGGCCCAGGAAAAGACCGAAAAGGTCAGGAACAAACAGGCACTGGAGAAGGTTCAGGCTCCAAACCAGGCGGCAGTCGTGAGGTCCTCCCAGGCGCCCCAGCCAGGGCACGTCCCGGGCCACCGCGGAACCATTCCGCCCTCGCCTGTGGCTCACAGGACCGCCGAAGTATCGCCCTGGGCGTCAAAAGACTGTGGCCTGCTGCCTTCTCCACCCTCCAAGCACACATTCACCCTCAGGGAAGGGCGGTCAACAGAAGGAGTAGGGAATGGAAGGAAACAGGCTAGAAGTTCAGGGGACAGGTCCTCCGAGCAGGGCGGGGGCCCAGAGTGGGTGAGGAAAGGCTGGGGCGGAGAGACCTGATGAGTGAGGAAAGTGAGAGGTCTGCGGGAAAGACGGGACCGGGAGGAGAGAAGATATCTGGAGGGAAAATGGAAGCGGGAGACTGAAGGATGAGGTAAGAAGAAAGCTGGGGAGGGGAAAGAAAAGGGGCGACTGAGGTCAGGGGTCATAAAGGATCTGGGAACTACCGGAGCGCACCGAAGGCAGTGGCGGGGACCTGGGGCGGGGCCCAGGGTGCTGAAGGCTGAGGAGGCTGAGGGCAGCCCGCGTCCCCGCAGTGGGCGAGCGAGCGCAGCTGAGAGAACGCGGAACCGGAGACGGAGACGTGAGCGTAGTTAGGACTCCGATTTTTATTCTGGTGGGGGTGGGAGTGGAGGCGGGGCGGGGAAAGTGCCTGTCTGGCAGTCGCAGACCCAGCGGGGTATTTATTTGCCAGGTGGGACAAGGCCGCAGTGTTGGGCCGCCCCGCCCGCCGCTGCCGCGGGACAAGCGGCCTTTCTTTGGCGGAGCAAGGAGAAGGAGCCGCTTGTTTGTGCCGCGGGATAAACGGGTGGCCCCACAGACACCGCCCGCTCCCTGTGGAGCAGCTGTGGGCAGAAGCCTGTGGGAGTAGCGGCAGTGTGTGTGTGTGTGTGTGTGTGTGTGTGTGTGTGTGTCTCGAAGGGGGTGTGAGGGAGGTGTGCGTGTATGAGGAACGGCGTGTGAAAGGGTGCTGCTGGTGTGACTAAGTGGCGTAGGGGCTGCGTGTGCGCGGGAAGTGCGTGGGCACAAAGAGCAGCAGGTGCTGTGGGCTGTGCTGGGTACAGGGTGTGTGGAACGTGTGCTGAGTTCTGGGTGTGTGTGAGGAAGGGTTCCTCACAAGTCAGGGCGATGAGACTGGGGGCCGGTGGCATGTGCGTGGGTGATGCAGGCCTGGCGCTGTGCCTCTCTGCCGTGTGGGACATCTGACGTGGTGGGGAGCTGTTTGTGACCATTGCCATGAGTCAGTCTCCGGGATGGCTGAGCTAACGGGTCCAGAATGCAGCCCCGCCCCGGCGCCCCGGGTATCCGCTATCCCTGCGGTCTGCTCGCCAAGCCCCAGCTCATGACCACCAAGGCCGAAACACCGGCCGGTGCCAGGCGACCCGGGACCTGGAGGCCCCTCCCAGCACCCAGTCTCCGTGTTCTACCAACCGCCCGCAATACCCCCTGCGGGAGAAGCCCGGAAGACCTGGCTCAGGCCGTGCTCCAGGGAACAACTCAAGGGATTCCAATACGGACCAAGCACGCAGAGAAAGGGGCTGGGACTCACTATTCCCGCAACCCCTCCGGCTTCCCGAAAGCGGAAAGACAGGGGGCTTCGGAGGGCCTTGGAGGTGCCAGATACGCCCAAGAGCCACTCCCGGACATCCATGCCTCCGAGCCCAGCTCCTCATCCCTTCCCGGTCCCTGAAGGCTGCCGGGCCCAGGCGGAAGCAGGATGTCCCAGGGCTTCCCAACCTCTACCCCGCCACCGGCACACCGGGTGCACAGTTCTCAGCCCTGCGGTCTGCAAGAGATGGGGAGCTCGGGGTTCAGACAGAAGGGACCCCGCGAATGTCCAGCAGTTCATTTGTGTGCCCTCGGGAGAGTCTTGATGGGGTAGTATCAGCGTCGACCCCCACCCCCGGGGGAGAGTGAGAGGGCTCCCTCTAGCGGTAGCGCTGGACGGCAAAAGCATGCAACTTTCAGGAGAGTGGCTGAGCCCACTCTCCACAAGTCCCTTTCGTCCCCGTGCCCTCACCTAGGGCACCTCCTCCTCCCCCAAGGGTTTCTTCCGGGGTCTCTAACCCAGAGCTTAACTGAGGGCTCTCGTCAAGCCTAGAACTTCCCCTTATCCAGTCCTAGCTGCGCAGCAAACAGGACCCTAAGGCGTAGAGGGAAGAATTATTACCTTGGGGAAGCAGGGGACACCGGTCCCTTAGTCTGGCTTGGCTGCCGCAGCCTCAGATTCAGGATACTGTTGTTTTTCCCTGGGAGTCTGCTGAGTAGGTGGAGAGAGAGTGGGTCCCGCCCAGGTCAGTCCCCGCCCTGGTCTCCTGCCCCGCATTGGGTCTTCCGGACCAGCCAGAGAAGACGCCGTTGTGGGGCTGGAGCCCAAGGTCCACTCCCCACCCCAGCTTTTCCATAGCAGCACCCCCCCATTCCACCCCACCCCACACACATACACACCCAGCCAGCACAGTGACGGCTTTGTTTCTGTAGCTGGACTCTTCACTGCCGCCACCACACACACACCCTCCCCCCT